CAGTTTACATCAGCATGGGGAATTTATTAGCTGTTGAAAGGTTGCACATGTATATGTACATATTGTGCCCACAAGATCAAGATTAACCTACTTAGAAAGACTTTAAAGCTGCATTTGACCTTTTTCTGGGTGAATCTTAAAGACTTGCCTTGTGAAAATCCTTTTTTTTTCAGTAAATTTTATTGCTTGGCTGTTTGTCTGGAACTCATGGCTCTGTTTGGCCGACTTTGCCACCGTTTCTATTATTCTGCCTGCTTTTAAGTGATCCTAATCGCTCTTGAAAGAGTCACTCCTTCTTTTTTGCAGTGGAAAAACTGCACTAATGCTAGTCAGGGTGGTTTTATTTCTCTCTTGGATTAACAGCGTGCTGAAAACAGTCACCTGCTGTGTGACATTTGTTCATATTATGAGCTGTTTACATTGCCAGAATGCATATTTCCTATTGTTAAAGCAGATGTACGAGAACCCACTGTAACGGCGGCGCGGTTAATGGACATGTTGATGTTTGAAGTCTCTCAGTTTGCCTGTAAATTCGTGGCAGATCTGTTTGCACTGTTTTTCATCATTTCTCCTTTTTTTGGGCCAGTTTGAGCAAAAGCAAATGGAGTGCGGCGCAGTACCCCAGTCCTGGAGCCTTTCTGACGTGATGATTCATACCTTCCCTCCTCTCGTCCTGGGCGTTTCTAGGATGCGGTTGCTAAAATATCTGTTGCTAAGAAGAACAACTTTAATGCATATTGCTTTCCAAATACATTGAAAATGACTGTTCAAGGTTTAATGGTCAAAGTTTACTCCTTTTCCTATAGCATGTGACCAGGACTGTTTCAATGACCTGTTCTGTCTGTAGTAGATGCTACGAGTATTAAAGCATCACATTCAATACACAGGAAAGATATCACTGCTGTCATTTTTTAAATGCAATTTTTATCTCTTTTTGAAAGAATGTTCAGTCGTTCCAGTGTAATAAAATGTATTTATAAATATAGTATTATTAAATTATGTAAACATTACTGAATTATAAAGTTTCAGTATTTGAAATAGGCTTTTATATCAAAATATGAATATATAAACATCAATTATTAAATTATTATATATATAAATAATTTATTTAATAAATAGGTTAATTATTCAAATTTTTTTTATAGAAAATTCCAATATTTGAAAATGGACCCTAACATCTAATTTAATGTTTATTTATTGATTAATAGAATATTAATTTCTAATTATTTAATTATTATGTATAGATATTTCTATATTTCATACATATTTTTATTATATATATTTTCTTATAGAAAGTTCCAATATTTAAAAATAGACTATATTATCTAAATACACAAAACTTGTGTGAAATATGGCCTATATATGTGGTATATATATATATATATATATATATATAAGCCATTTTTAATGCACCCCTCCATGTTAAATTCTGTTCATAAACAGTAACTGCGCATTAAAATGTGCAGAACTGTGTTTTCTGTAGATGATGTCTAACTTATATACACATACGTCAACAACAACATTGTTGGAATTTGACCAGGCGTGCACAAACCTTTTGCACATGACTGTATTTCTAAAAATGAATATAAAATCTTTTAATGTTTTGTTTTTGTATATTGTTTCATTGTTTTATGTTTTTTATTATTCATTTGACATCATTATTTTATATTTATTACGTGCTATTGTATTATTATTCTCACAGTACTTGGGAATAGATTATTATTTTAATCTGAGTATAAAGACGTGTAATATATATCCCCATTTCAGTGAGCAACAGCAGCCTGATATTCAACTCCACAGTAAATATCAAACCTATGCTATTCTACCTGAATTTTATGTATGATAACTGTTTTAGCTCAGATGATAAAGGAGATGTTTTGAACTGTTCATTCTCAGCCTGGGTGTCTAAAACAGAATAAAAATGTCAGGGACACAGAAATAAAGCAGCTATAGGTGAGAGGAGAAACTATGCTTTTAATTATTTAGCTTAAAGCTGCACTATGTATTTTTTTTTGTTAAAACTGAAAGTGTTGTCATCACTGAGTGAGGAGAATAAAGAAAACACTAAATTATGTTATTAATGTTACACAATGACTCTAAAGGTGGGTCTGACTCAATGTTTAGACCTCAAATGATCTCAAATCAACATCACACTGATGAAGATGTGATGACAGTAGTAGATAATTCACTCTCATCCTCAGAAGCCGCTCAGAAGACGCTCCTTCACCAAGTTTACACTGAGTTCTCTTTCAGTTCTCTTTCAGCCTCGCAAAACTCAGATTCATCCACTTGTGGGGGTCTGAAGCACAACCCACGGTACAAAATGTTCTTCCACACGTTGCATGCAGTTACACATTTCCACCAGAGAGGGCTCCAAATTCCTAAATCCTACATGGTGTTGCTTTAAAAATAATAGCGTATGGTTTAATACCATATATAATAATCTCAATGCATTTCCTGAAGTCAGGAGAAGAGAAACTCACTGACTTCTGAAGCAGCTGCCCATTGACCTTTATTATAAGTGAGTTTCAAGTCAGTGAAGATTCTGTTCTTGTGCTTTATTGATCATACACTGCATATCACTGCTGTCAGAAGAGAACTGCATATCTCCATTTTTGCAGTTTTTACATTTTTGACATAATTTGAAAATGTCTGTTTACATTTACCTCCTGTATGTAAATTTCATGATGAATGGACCAAAAGAAAAGGATCAAAATGACTTGGAAAAAAGTCTGGTTTCACTGACTTACATTAAAAGTAAAGTAGGTTTTTTACTTCTCCTGTTTTCTTCTGACAATAGTGATAAGCTACTATACATTAAATTGAGTATTCCTGTTATTTTTATGCTCTGTTAGTCTGCTGAGTTCTCCTGAGCCTGTGGTGCTGCTGGGGAGTGAAGCTGGACCCGCTATGGACGCAAAGTCATGTATGATGAAGGAAAGAATGCACTCCTGATGCTCAGCTGTTGAATTCTGTAACCGGTACGTTCACTGTTAGCCACAACACAACGAGGCCGAGTCTAATTTAAGTTGCATATGCTTTTCTTCTGCAATAACACCACTACTCCACAACATGGCTACTGACATTTTTGTCTTATACAATATAATATTAGCTATAATTACAGATTCATCAGTACAACAGTGTATAAGTACAGTATGTATAGGGTGTTTTGTTATGTAATATCTCGATCGGTGCATCATATTATTGACAATAATCATGACTGTTACTGAGAACAATGGTGTATTAGCTATTAGTTAGCACATCAGTCATCTATACTATACTATACTATATCTATACTATATATACCATATTACTTATTAACTTTTAGGATGAATTCATCAGAACTACATACTTAAAAAAGATGGTTCTTCAGATTGATGGAGAATGTGCTGTATATGGTTCTATACAGAACCATTTTAAAAGGAGTTCTATATAGCACCAAAAAGTGTTCTTCTATTGTTACAAGCTTGAGATCATAACAATGGAAAAACATTGAGTTTTTTAAAATGGTTCTATATAGAACCATATATTCTCCATCAATCTGAAGAACCATTTCACAATGCAAAGAACCATTTGACCATTTAACCCATGATCATGCAAATGGCTCTTTGAGTGTTCATGGTTCTATGCAGAACTATTTTCTTTACTAAAGAACCCCTGAAGAACCATGTTTTAAGAGTGTATATAAACCAGTATATAATAACGTATTATGAGTTGTCCTTTACCTAATTTGTGTAAGCATGATTCCCCGTGATAAAATCACTGTAACGCACGGACTCGAGTGGCTTATTGCTTTTATAAAATACATAAAATATGATCAAATACACAATTTTTCAGAAAATAATTAAAGTTTGGTCTTCAATCGCTGTAAACTGCGCTCATTTCATTAATGTTTTAACTTCTTCTTGTATAACAATGAACATATGACAACACAGCACTGTTTAATGTAAAAACTTTCGCTTTATAACATTTTGGTCACCACTTTAGCACAGTAAGTATTAATGTGGAATAAGGTTATGTAGATTTGTATCAGTTGTTATGAAAGGCTTATGTAGGTGTTGTGTCAGCTTATGATTGCTGCCAATCAGTTCAGTGGTACCTGAAGTGTTTATGGAATAAAATCTGATGCAGCCGGTATTTTCAAATTATGTAATAGTTTTGATTTGATGTAGTTCAAGACGGTTTTAAAATACAGTAAATAAACAAACGAATCAATGATTGGTCATTGATATCAGTACTGGGCACAACGAGGTGTCAATTAGTGGTTATTGTTAGAAATCTCATATCAGTGCATCTCTACTGTACTCACTGTATATATATATATATATATGTGTATACGTTGGGTGTAAATTTCATGATGAATGGACCAATATATATATATATATATATATATATATGACAGAAGAATATATATATATAGTTGCTGTTGCACCTCATATCATAAAGTGTTTGTAACTTATAGTGGAAGTTAATGTAAAAAGAGATATTTCCATTTAGAGCATTTCTATCCATTCATCATGAATTTATGACATATTGGAAAGGGCAGCTGATGTTTGCACGTTATGGAGATGCAAGGTTGACAGCAATGATATATTGATTACTGATATTGGTATTGGTCAATGTACCACATACCAATGTAACATGCAACATATTAATAGCTGTCTATTTTTAATTTATCTACTACCTAATATGTACATATGATATTGAACAAGACATCAATCAGCATTTTCAGCCCAGAAATTCTATATCAGTGCATCTCTATACATTATATTATTGGCTTTAAGGATAAATGCATTAAAACTGCATAAACCAGTATGAGCTGTTTTGCAGTGTAATATTTCTATCCTACACATCTTATCATTAGCATCAATTACAGGCTCATCAGAGCCCCATAAGGCATTCTGACAGCAGTGCTGCACCTATAGCTGTAGGATGCTGACAGATGAATGCGAGCACGGCGTGATGAATGGTAGTGAAGGATAGACGAAGCTGAATCGTACCTCTCCTGGTCTGTCTGATCTTAGGGCTCAGCATGGCTGTCATCGTTGCACCCTCCACATACTCCGTCCTCCACCCCTTCTCTCCTGCTACGCTCCCTCGCTCTCTCTCCTCTCCTCCTCCACCGTGGCTTGCTCTTCCCTCCTCAGCCTCTCCTCGCTCTCCTCGTGCTCTGACCTCACAGAGCGGGCGGGGGGAGGGTTCCCTCACACGTTCAGCGGTCCACACCCACGCTGAGCTGCATTATTCATCCCCCCAACTGCTCTCCGCCGCTGACCGGTCCTCATTTCTGGCTTTATTACGACAATCCGCTGCTCAGCCAGCCTGAGGGCGAGAGAAGCTCCTTTTAATTGGCCGCAGGCATGTGGGCTCAGCCTCTCTCGCTCTCCAGGGGATCCTCCCTCTCTCTCTCTCTCTCTTTCCTCTCCTGCTCTGTCTCTTTTTCCTCCTTCTTCCTCCTCTGTTTAATCTTCTCCAACCTCCAGCCTCCAGTCCTCGTGGCCTTCTTCTTCTCCTGTCTCGTTTTCTCCGTAAACATGCTCTCAGAACGCCACCTCCGGATGGATAATAGCTCCTGCTCTGACACTTCAATTGAATCAGCCACAGCTGCTCCTTCTCTCAGGCAGGGTGGGGGAGGGAGGGCCTGCAGCACCAACCAGCAATAAAATGCCTCCTTCACCACCAGACTGAGAGCTCCTGGTTCAACCACCGCTCTCCTCTACCAGGTCCCAGATACGCTGTATGTTCTTAAAGCGGCATTCTGGCCTACACTACACAACTGATGGTTCTTCAAGAGTTCTTTATTAAAGAAAAATGTTCTTTGTAGAACCATGAACACACAAAGAACCCTTTAGATGATTAAAGGGTTCTTTGCACTGTTATATCACTGAAGTGGTCTGTTTATGTCAGTGTTATGGAGCAGAGTTCAAGTGAGAGCAAATATTAACCACACGACAAGTAATGAATTGAGTGCTACACATTTAAAAATGATGGTTCTTTTAGGGTTCTTTAGTAAAGACAATGGTTCCATATGGATTCATGAACACTCAAAGAACCCATTGTATGATTAAATGGTTCTTTGCATCATTAAAGGGTTTGTCAGACTGAGGAAGAATGTGCTGTAGAATGTGCCTTTTAAAAAAGGTTCTATATAGTGCCAAAAAGGGTTCTCCTACTGATACAAGCTTGATGTCCTAACAATCGCAGAACCTTTTTGGTGCTGTATAGAATGCTTTTCGAAAAGGTTCTGTATAGAACCATTTACAGCACTGTAGCATAATCTTTTTTTAGGTGTGCAGTTTAGAAGTTTAAGTCAGTTTAATGTAGTTAGAAGTAAGCGTGTGTGTGTGTGTGTGTGAGTGTGTGTGTGTGTGTGAGTGTGTGTGGGTGTGTGTGTGTGAGTGTGTGTGGGTGTGTGTGTGTGTGTGAGTGTGTGTGGGTGTGTGTGTGTGTGTGTGTGTGAGTGTGTGTGTGTGTGTGTGTGTGTGTGAGTGTGTGTGTATTTCATTCTAATTTATGTAAGTTTATGTGCAATTATATCTTGATACTGTAACACTGCAATTTCCCTTCGGGATCAATAAAGATCTATCTATCTATCTATCTATCTATCTATCTATCTATCTATCTATCTATCTATCTATCAATCTACCTACCTACCTACCTACCTACCTACCTGTCTGTCTGTCTGTCTGTCTGTCTGTCTGTCTATCTATCTATCTATCTATCTATCTATCTATCTATCTATCTTTTCAAAAAGCACATTCTACAGCACATTCTCCATCAAACTGAAGAACCGTTAAATGATGCAAAGAACCTTTTCATCATGCAGAGGGTTCTTTAAGTGTCCTTGATTCTATATAGAACCTCTTTCTTTACTAAAGAACCCTTAAGGCACCATCTTTTTTTAAGAATGTAGTTCATATTCAGCAGCGATGGTCTTGGAGGAGGAGTCATATATGTGCTGTATGTACTGGAGAGTAAACTGTGTGTTTACATTCTGCACTGCAGTTCTATTTAAAAAAGGACAGAGAACCTTTTTCCACAGCATCGGCCCTTTGGTTCCAGTCTCCTACAAACACACAGTCTGTCCTGTTTTAGAGATGGACACATCGCTGTTTACATGGGCAGTTAGACCAGCGTAGCTTACCCGTTGCACCCAGATGTGCAATTTGGTTGCCAGGTTGGTATTTTTAGCTACTTTATCCATTGTGAAATCCGAGGCTCTGACAGTGGCGTAGACGTGCGGTCACTTGAAGATGCAGCTTGTGTACAGTAGCAGTCCTGACCTCATCAGACCTTCACATGTTTGTCTAACAGTGTTTTGAGTCAGTGATCTTTGGATTCCTATCAGAATTTAATGAGTATAAACAGTAATAATCATAACAGAGACATCGTATTTAGAACAAGGACACTGATGCACTGAACCGGCTACTCAAGATTCAGGCAAAAATCAGACGCATTTATGTATGAAGCTGGCACACGAGTCTAAACACACACATAAACATGCAGTGAAATGATCTTAAATCTGGCAAATATACCTAATATTTCTCATTATGAGATTGTTGTAAGAATATTATATGGTTATTTAATTTATTTCTAGACATTTTGACCTGTTTTAAGTCATTTTATCTACAGAAATTGACTTCTATTAGTAAATAATTGTGCTTGCTTGAAGAAATAATGCTTGATGAAAGCAACAGTATATGCTAATAGAATAAAACAATTTCTCTAGATAAAATTGCTCCAGAAAAAAATGCTAATTAATACCAAAAATAGTAATATTAACCAGTGATTATTATATATTGCATATGAATTTTATTATTATTTTAATATTAATTAATGAAATTACTAAAATCATGACTCCTGATTTCTGTCACCACTGCTGTAAATAATCTATGGAGAAATTTTGAAAGTTTAGTGGACACTAACATGGCAAGTTTCTCTTCACATTTTCAGGACTTTGTCACCTTCGTTATAACTGATGTGTAATTTAATTAGTATTAGACACTCTGCTGCACGGGCACTGCTTGTCGCTCTGCTCACATTGACGCTGTGCAAAAAGAGTGACAAATGTGAAAGGATCAATAAAAGTGACCTAAGCTTTAATTAGAAACCCCTCAAGAAAAAATGCAAATGAAATCAATACTGTCTAAGTGCAAATTATGTAAATTATCACGGTCATCATGTTGTTTTTCATTATGGCTTAGCTGTGAATCAGTTTCAAGGCCTTTCAGTGGGCAGTTCTAATCTTCCCCCACACAAACAGAGGCCATTATTTTGAGACAGATACTTAAGTTTGTAGCAAACATCGTAAACATCGATTTTTTTCAGATTTTTCTACTATTAGGTACAAAAAGAGTTGAAAAGACTCATCCTGTATATGAAACTAACCCAGAATAATCAACCAAACCAACCAAAAACATCAAACCGACAGCAGCCCTGTGGTCAAAAACTGAATAAAATAGATCTAATACATGCCATATTTTGAAGTCTGTAAAGTAGAAGGGTCGTAATTTTTCCTCTTTGTGGCCTAAAAGTTCTTAAAGATACTAAAAAAGACTAAATTTGACTGAATGTGCAGCAATCCTGTCATTGCCATGTGGTTCTGATGAAAGAACACAATTTTACAGATCTTTATAGGACAATGCATCCAGGTTTTGGAGCAGGTTCTTCAGACATGGACTGGTGTGTCTTATATGTGTGCTGCCCCCCAGTGGCATATGCAGGCCATAGCACCACAGCTTAATATTGAGCAGTAATCTAGTCTTAAAATGGAATTCCACTGATTTTATTTACTCTCCAGAACCACCAGTGAACCTACACGAGTCTTCTGAGTTCATATGGAATGATGATGATGGAAAATAGTGGAAAATCTGAAATAATAAGTTTTCTTTGGGGACTATTTTGCCTCACAGCGCCCTGCATGTATCCCTCCACCATGAATGGAGTTTAAGTTCTCTAAACTATCATAAAACAGTGTCTCAGTCATCAGGCAGTGAATTCATAACCATTTCATGTAGGAACTTTCTGTGAGGGAGCTTTTAGAGGTGGACGTCTGGTTCCTATCACCACCACTGTGAACAATTCTGACTCGGTAGGTTTATCTAGAACAGAGCGTTTCACACCAAACCACTCTGAACCACTCTGAACCACTCTGTTTAAATCTTAAGCACTTAATTATGCAGAAGCCATTTCACATGCAAGGAAATTTAATTAAGCCCAGTGTCATATTTGGTAGACAGCAAGGAAAAGAAAGAGCAGTGTCTTATTACTAGAGCTGCACATTATGTTGTTTGTTGGTATCATAATATTGGCCATTGCAATACTGATAATACCATGATTTGCATATAAGCCCTCTGACCTATCAGTGCTGTGAGCATTCAGACCAATCACAGCTCCAGATGAGTCTGTTTGGGTGGTTTGATGAATGTAACCTGTCACATTATTGATTCACTAGTGATTTTTAACCCCTGAAATATCCAGGACCCAACAGCATGTCCAAAGGTTTATTACACACTTCTATAATCTAAGAATAACTTAATTTGCACTGAAGTCCCTGTAGTTACTGAATAATAAGCCTTAGTATGTAACACGTCTGGGATTTAATGGGTTAATATGCTGCACTGTGGGTTGAAATTGCCATAAGTAGGAAAATAATCTCAGCACTAGAATCTCATTCATATCGTTCAGTCCTGCTTCACTGCGTTAGAGGAAATCTGAGGTGTTCAGAAAGGCCACTTTAGTCCCGGTGCTAATTAGTTTAGCAGTATAAAGGCAGATTTATTGGCTGGCATTCAGACAGTGAGTGGCATTAATCTTGTGGGCGCTTTGGCAGTTTATCAGTGGCATTACGCACAAACCTTTTATCGCTTGTTACAGAGCCGGAGAGCGACGCCCCCTGCTGTCTCAGAGAGCTGTCAAATCAACACCATGTGGAGACGCTGAGTATTACTGTTCCCATAATATCTCTCCCTCACTCTCTCGCTTACTCTCTCACTCTGTCCTTTCATATTTCGTATACACATTACTGTTTTTACCCTGATTTGATTTGATGTTTTTTTTTTTCTTCCATTAGAAACTATTGTAAATGCAAACACTCGCAAAAGCATCTTGTTATAGAACAAAGCAACTGCCTCATGGATATTGCCAGTAGTGCTGCTTTGGATTTTAATAGCAATAATAATAATAATAATAATAATGATAATAATGATACTACTACTAGTACTGCTACTACTACTAATAATAATAGTACTATCTTCATTTATTTTTCATACATCTCAGAGTGCTTTACAGACAGGTGATAATGCTTAACAGTAATAGAGGAAACTATATGTACTAATTATACATCATGTAAAACAATAACACAGATCAGACTTAACAGATAAACACAAAGAGTCGTAGAGTTTTACTGAAGCACTGAGTTAAAGAGTCGTAGAGTTTTACTGAAGCTCTGAGTTAAAGAGTCGTAGAGTTTTACTGAAGCTCTGAGTTAAAGAGTCGTAGAGTTTTACTGAAGCTCTGAGTTAAAGAGTCGTAGAGTTTAATGAAGCTCTGAGTTAAAGAGTCGTAGAGTTTTAATGAAGCTCTGAGTTAAAGAGCCGTAGAGTTTTACTGAAGCTCTGAGTTAAAGAGTCGTAGAGTTTTACTGAAGCTCTGAGTTAAAGAGTCGTAGAGTTTTACTGAAGCTCTGAGTTAAAGAGTCGTAGAGTTTTACTGAAGCTCTGAGTTAAAGAGTCGTAGAGTTTTACTGAAGCTCTGAGTTAAAGAGCTGCGTTTTCAGATGTTTATTAAAAGTGAGCTCTGAGCTCGACTGTCTAATAAAAGCTGAACTGAGCTCCACAGTTTAGAAGCAGAATAACTGAAAGAGTCTCTCCACGTTTTCTGTGTTTTACTGAAGGAGTTCAGAAGGTCAGAATCTGCAGATCTGAGATGATAAACAGACATTCAGGAGCTTTAAAGTCATTCAGAGCTTTAAAAACCAGCAGCAGAGCTTTAAACTCTCTCTAAACAGATCAGAATAATTTAAAATCTTGAAACAACCTAAGGACGAATGTCCGGTCAGGTTTGGACATTAGGTAGATGCAACCTAATGAGCTCTCTCATTGGTTTGGACTTCTAGACCTATAGGTTCTAGATACATTACTGCCTAAATCTGAGCTGTAGTCTGAACAGGTTAGTTGTTAGGAATGTTAAACAGTGGTGGTAGCTCTACATCAGAACTCTTTACTGAAAGAGTCACTGTAACACAGATACATATAAACTCAGATATACATTTATGTCTGTTTCAAGCTTCAGATAAAGCATACGGAACAACTTTTATAGGCTTTTGTATGACTGTGTTTATTCTAGAACAACCAATGTGTACCAGTATTAATTTGGAACTAATATATTATAAGAAACCCCATAGAGGTGCTAGCAGAAAGTAATATTGTTGTAAAAGTATTTTTCTCTCATTTTCTTGACAAAGTTCTGACTCTTATGGCCTGAACTGTAGGCCCAGCTCCAGTCATGGTTCAGCACTATATGCTACTAAAGTTGTTATGGTCCATTATTTGTAATCAATCCTTTCCCGAGTCAATAACTTTGACATTGACAAGACTGTGCATGGTTTATATTTTAGGTCATATGATCACAAACATGGACAATCCAAACACAAGTTTTTAGCACTGCTTTGGTTTAGTTTGTTCTTTTTGTGTACTTAAAATGAGCTGATTAAAGTGATGCAGGTCCACAGGGGAAATTTAGCCAATCTTTATGTTCATAAACATTCTGATTTGGTCTACTATGTTTATTATTTCTCAGAACTCAGAGCTCACAAGCAGAGAAACTGTGTAGAAAGTGCATATTTAATCCATAACACAATTGTGTGCATGAGTTAAAGTTATTATAATTTGAATTTGATAAAAAAAGTTGTGTTTACAACAGTGTTTACTTGTTCTGTGGATCCTCTACATTTTCAGTTGAAACACAGAGAAAATAGCCAGAAATGCTGATACAAAATGTAAATGAGCTGTAAGTATAATTGATTGTATTACTACCATGTAATTATTATGCAATTACATTGTAATTGTACAAATGACTGTAATAACTGTAGATTTCTAAGGATTATTATTTAACCTTTATATTTTCAGCATGAAATGTCACTTTTCACACAAAATAGTCCATAAATTATCAAATTTTCAAGCAGGTTGAGTTTGTGTACCTAGCCTACTATCTTCATCTGCACACTGCCTGGTCATCTTGTGCCACAGAATTGGGCATAATCAGCCCAGCAAGGATGGTTCTCCTCTGAACTGGACCCTTACTGATCCTGCTGTCCACCTTGCCCCTTTCTTCTTTGCACTTCTGGAGGCAATCGCTGCAGAGGCAGCCCTCTCTGACCAGGTACAGGCACTCCACCCGCCGGATGGGGTCCAGCTCTGGGGGCTTATCTGGACATATGGGGTTGCTCTTGACGTTGAGTGTCTGCAGGTTGGGCAGGTTGTGGAGCCACTGCGGCATGCCCGTCAGCAGGTTGTTGAAGAGGCCCAGGTGGCGCAGCTCCTTGAGGGCGGCGAGGAAGGATGGCAGGGTCTCGATGCGGTTCATACCCAGGTTGAGGCTCTTTAGGTTCCTCAGCAGGCCCAGCTCGTGCGGGATTCCGTACGTGGTCAGCAGGTTGTTGCACAGGTTCAGGCTGTGGAGTTTCGGCAGGCGCCCAATGGCCTCAGGCAGCTGTTCCAGCTGGTTGCTGTGCAGGTCCAGCCAGCGCAGGTTAATGAAGCGGTCGATGATGTCGGGAATCTTCTTCAGCATGTTTCGGCTCAGGTCCAGCTCGTCCACATCGCACAGCTTCAGGATACACTTCGGGAAGGTAGTGATCTCCATGTTGCTGAGGTCCAGGCGCCGCTTTCCGTCCACAGTGAGCTTCACGGCGTTCTTGGCCATCTTCAGGGTGATTTTTCTCCCTTTCGACTCGCTTGATTTCTTTTTACCCTTCGCCATTGGGCCTGTGAGAGAGAAGAAGTGCAGTAAAGGGGCATTTTTCAGAATTTCTGCTTAATTAAATGGTCAAGATGTAAAGCTTTACAGTGAGGTTTGATGTTAAATGTTCTGTACTAGAGGATTGTTCACAGTGGTGGTGATAGGAACCAGACATCCATGTTTAAAAGTTCCCTCATAGAAGATGTTTGGAGTAAATCCTATGTTTCAAAATTCATACATGCAGGGCGCTGTGAGGCAAAATAGTCCCCAAAGAAAACTTATTATTTCAGATTTTCCACTATTTTCCATCATCAACATTCCATATAAACTCAGAAGACTCGTGTAGGTTCACTGGTGGTTCTGGAGAGTAAATAAAATGTCTATATTTGTGTTGTAGTCATGGCGACCCCTGGTTCCTATCACCACCACTGTAAAGAAGCCTGAGTTGGCAAGTATTTCTACTTTGTTTACATCTCAACCATTGAATTATGCAGAAATGTTCAGCATCCTCTTTGCTACTTTATACTAATGCTATCTTTTATCTTAACATCATGTTTTATTGCCCTATATAATTTGTCATTAAAGCACAGAGCATCATCAAGCACCATTTCAAGCACCAAAACAATTCATCCACATGAGTAAAGCTGTTTTCACAAGCAATATTAAGAATTTCTAAAACCTAATTTCATTTTTTCAGCCCAGTTATATCTTCACACAGAGCTCCAGGTCAAAAGAGCCTCATTTTAGAGAGAGCTGAGATCATCCTGAACACTTTAAAGTTGTATGCAAGAGCATTTAAAGGAATATTTAAGAATATATGCAAAAATCAAGATGCCCTCAGACCCCAGAGAGTTAAGGAGCACCTCCTATAAGCTGGTTCCTGGTGCTATTAAGGGGTTTGACAGTACGAACAGTACGAAAACAGGTAGAATGCCAGCTCTACACTCTCAGAAATAAAGGTACCAAACGGTCACTGGGTCAGTTCCTCTCTTGTTACTGGGGTGGAACCCTCAAGGCTCCGTCTCAGTACCTTTAGTCAGGGAACATAACTGAACCATAATCCACTGAAATGATATGTTCTAAGCTGTACTGACTCCACACACCCCGTCTCGTCTCCAGGCTTTATTTTACTGTTCTGTTTAAAACATTCGGTTATGAAAAGGTACAAATACGAACTTTTCACCTGAAGAAACTGATTTAAGGTTCACAATCAGACCTTAGAACCACTGTTGGAGCTTTGAGGGAACATTTACATTGTTTGTACCTTGATGAACGAAAAATGTACCTGAACAGAACCTTTATTTCTAACAGTGTAAGAAGTGCTCAGTATCCTCAAATCCCAAATGTTTACAGGACAATTGACAAGAGACACAAATTCACAGTCTTACCTGCTGTGCTGATCTCCGTCCACAGGTAGATTTAGTGCCAGATATCTTCCTGTCTATCTGCAGCTCTCAGAACCCTCGTGTGCTAGGCGTCTTCGTCTTTCGCTGAGGGTTCTTTCATGTGAATTATGCATGAGCTCTTCTCGCAGCCCTGTAAATAAAACCCAGCAGGGCTGAGTGGTGACCGACTTCAGTTCCTGCTAATGCAGCGCACTGCTTGCTGCCGCTGTTTACTCAGAGCAGAGCTGTTGTCCTGTAGTCACCAGGCAACAGCAGCTCCTGCCTTATTGTCTCAGACCTCCGGGAGGAGCAGTGGGGGGGGTTATCTATCCTGCTGGATCACAAGGTAGTTTACATGGAGAATTTGAGACTCAGAAGTCCCACCTGTAACTCACATTTAGCTGAACCACACACATAATAAAGATGGTTCTTCAAGGGTTCTTTAGTAAAGACAGTGGTTCTAGTTAAGCACTTATGCTTAAATGTTTTTTTTGCATGGTGAAATGGTTCTTCAGATTGATGGAGAATGTGTATGTTCTATGTAGCACCAAAATGGTTCTGCTACTGTTACAATGTCAAGCTTGTGTACAATAGCAGAACCCTTGGAATGTTGGTGCTGTAAATAAAACCATTTTCGTAAAGGTTCCATATAGGACGGAGAATGTGTTTTGAGTGCTTAAAACGGTTCCTTACTTGGTTAAGTGATTCTTCTACTCTTAAAAAAGGTGCTCCTTCGAAGGTTCTTCAGTAAAAACAGTGGTTCTTTATTGAACCATGAACATTCATGCTTAAATGGTTCTTTGCAAGGTGAAAACATTCTTCAGATTGATGGAGGACGTGTTGTTTATGATTCTATGTAGAACATTTTGAACAAGGGTTCTGCTATTTTTATGATGTCAAGCCTGTATACAATAGAAGAACCCTTGTTAGTGCTGTGTAGAACCCTTTTCAAAAAACGACAGAGAAAGTGCTGCGAGTGTTTAAGTAGTTCTTTCCTTGGTTAACTGACCCATCAACTCTAATTCTTCAAGGGTTCGTTAGTAAAGACAGTGGCACTATTTTGAACCATTTGCAGGATTAAGTCGTTCTTCAGATTGAAGGAGAATGTGCTGGATCTATATTGAACCTTTTTTAAGAAGTGTTCTGTATAGGACCAAAAAGGGTTCTTCTGTCATTTGACATTGTAACAATAGAAGAACCCTTTTTGGTGCTGTATAGAACACATCCTCCATCAATCTGAAGAACGCTTTCACGATGAAAAGAACCCTTTAATCATGCAAAGGGCTCTTTGAGTGTGCATGGTTCTATATAGAACCATTTTCTTTACTAAAGAACCCTTGAAGGGCAATCAATCTTTTGTGCCTGCACAGAACCTTTTTCTGACAGTTTAGATCACAACAACAGAAAAAGGACACCACTGCACTGAAGCAGTGCCATGGATGGCACATTGCACAGGTGACATTCGAACCTCAATCCCAGAAATAGCAGTGAGAATTCAGCCCTGATCTAATATATTGTTCTATAATATGTAAATACTGTTGCTGAAATAGCAAATCTAGACAGCTCCTCTGTTAACCAACAGCTGATGTTCTTCCAGTCATGTCATTTCTGTCATATTCCTGAGATTGTAAAGGTCTCTCAAACTGTAATGCTTTTTCACACCAACAGGGGGCACCAACCTGTCAAAATTCAATCAAATTTAAATACTTACTCTGAAACTGAAGCATTCAGACCTTGTCAGTCAGACAGTAAACGTAGCTTGGAATCTTCACATAGAATAGAATTAGAATGCGCTCTGTGATGTCATCCTTTCACACAATGAGGATCTTGTTTAAGATCATCAATCAACGCTTCGATCAGCATTGATTGTGTAACTTGTTCATATTATTGGGTTTCTTGTGTTTTACTTTGGCTATAAGAAGTGGTGTTTCATATTTTGCTGAATAGTTTTAACTTTTAAAACTTGAAAATAAGAATTGATTTATAAAACCTCAGAGGGTTATTCATACTCATATATAGACATAACTAATCAGACACAAATGCAGCTTTAGAAATCACACTTAGGAACTTGGATTTTAGGAATTTGCATAATGTAAATGATTTTTAACTGTTTACATTAGAGCTTGTATCAGATTAATTGATCATAGTTCAATTAACCTTTTTTGTCTTTATTATCTTATTTTTATAAAATGTATTTTTGCAAAATATCTGATGTTTATTAGGTATCATCCTCTATTCTGGTCCTAAATAACAGCTAAAGAAAGAAAAGGGATGAAATAGGGATCATAACAATGCTGTTATGATCAATTAATTTCTTCAGGATCCCTCAAATAATGATTGCCTTTATTGGAGTTATCATTAAATTATTGTATAAAACTTATAAAGATGTACAAATATACTGTTATGAGAACTTTTATCTTTGAAATGGTAAATTTATAGTTATTACCACCTAAAGAAGTTTGTTCTTTTGGAAATTTTCTGTTTGTCCAATCGTAAAGAAATGTCACACAATGTAATGGCCAATTCTTATCAGTGTTTCCACTGATTTAGTTTACCTGAAATCAGTCAGAACAGGGATAAGAAGAATATAGATATGCTACTCAGTGCACATTGCAGGACTTGCAATAGTTCTGATAATTTAAAATAAGCTTCTAGAAATTCATGTTAATTGGACTGCATGGTTTAATACATGGATAAATAGCTGTAATGCTCATTGAAATGGTCCAGTTTACAGGGGGCCTTGTCCATGTCTGTTTGTGAGAAAGGTGATCTGGATCATCTCTGGAGAGGACAGTTCCACTCCGAGTCTCACACCCCTGTTTATGTGATCAGACTTGGCCGGACACGGCGGGATCGGGTTTCCGCCGCTGAGAAATCCATCACAATGTCTCCTTGTTTCCTCTTGTTCGCTCTCTCGTCTCCTCTGGCCTAAATAGCTCTGATGGAAAGAGTGATGATGACGACCTGGAGACGGGTGAAGGGGGCAATTGTTCGCTACTGTGGGACTGAAAATGGCTGTGTGATGGAAAAAGACTGACTGAACCGAGTTTCATCCTGTCTCGTGTTTTTTTCTGTTCTCTATTCAAGTCCTCTGTTCTAGAGGAAGAGTAACTGAAATGAAATGGTGATTCCACCAATGAAGCATTGATGCATTAGATAAGAGATCTATGATTGACTTTGACCTATCAGTGATGGCCAGCTCTAACAAAAACATGGAGAAATTATGTGGAAAGTACAGACTGTAAACTTCTAATCCTGACCACAAGTTTGTAGGTAGAAGAGGAGATAATTTATTATTATTTAAGTTTGATTAAAAGTTATTGTTGTGTGTTGAGTCTTGTTTTGTGAAAGAAAAGACATTCTTTACATTTTTTTGCAGACATACAGACTCAAATCTGTAGATACAAAATGTAAATGTCTAATTTGATTCAGTAATAACTATGTTATTAATGGTGTAATTACATTTAAATAGTATAACAAAAAATCTTGACTTCTAATGGATAAACACACTCCCCCTCCAATGTACCTGACAACATGACTTCACTTCCTGAACACAGATGCAGTAGTTATGTATATATTCCAGTTTGAATATAAACATTTTCCACTAAATCTCTGGTTTGACCAGCCAGTCTGTGTTATATTTACTTTATAAAAGTATTAATTTTTAAGAGGTTATGATTTATCAGAACTTTCAGCCTATTTCTTAAGACATAAGGACTGCATTGCCAAGGCATCATCACTAAGACTCAATAGGAGAAACTCCCTTAGAGAACCACTGAGAAGAACCAAGACTCAAAAGAAGAACACTGATAAGACCATGAGGAAGAATCACAGAGAGGAACCAAGACTCAAAATGAAGAACTATCTAAGAACGTGAAGAAGAACCGATGAGAGGAACCAAGACTCAAAAGGAGAAACTTGATAATAGCACGAGTAAGGAACACTGAAAGAAAGCAAAACTCAAAAGAGGAACGGCTGAAAGGAACCAAAACTCAAAAGAAGAACACTGATAAGACCGTGAGGAAAAACCACTGAGAGGAACCAAGACAGAAACTACCTAAGAATGTGAAGAAGAACCACTGAGGGGAGCCAAGACTCACAAGAAGAAACTTTCTAAAAGCATAAGAAGAACCTCTGGAAAGAACCACGACTCAAAAGGAGAAACTTCTTAAGACAATGAGGAAGAACCCATGAGAGGAACCAAGGCTCAAAAGAAGAAACTCCATGAGAACATGTAGAAGTGCTACTGAGAGGAGCCAAGACTTATATTAAGGATCTCCCTCAGAGCACAAGAACCAACCACTGAGAAGAACCAAGACTCAACTTCCAAAGACCATGAGGAAGAACCACAGAGAGGAACCAAGACTCAAAGGGAAGAACTCTTTAAGACAGTGGTTTCCAACCCTGTTCCTGGAGATCTACCTTCCTTCAGAGTGAAGTTCCAACCACAGCTGGCCACAACTGCTCCAGTTACCTAACATCTTCAGACTCAAGTCTCAAAAGGAGAAAAACTCAGTCCAAACCATGATATTCAAAAAAGACTGATTTATTCTGGAGCATCCAACTGATGATGTCTGCCTGAGGATGCAACTGAAGAACATTGTTGCTGGCCAGGTTCTCCTCAGGTTCATGTGTTCCAGTATTTCACTCCTGTTTGCTTCCAGGGATTCAGTTGTCCTTAATTATTAATGCGTCTGGTTAGCGCTCCTGAGTTACATGATGTGTTGCACCTCTGGCATCAGTTTCCATTTAATCCTCATAATGTACACGATACCATCTTGTACTCAGATGCTCTGTCTCACTAACCCGTGAAGGTAGTGGTGCGTAGAGCTAAATTAGGCTGAGACATGAAGCTGGAAATCTGGCCTCACTCTGTTTATTTAGGCAGCAGAAGGATGTGGTTCTTTTCTGGGTTCTGTCTCCACAACAGTCTATCATATAGTGCGGCACAGGACGCAACCTCAGTTGACCTACTTCATAAATGTTTGCTTGGATGCCGTTCAGAGGCTTCTGTCTGAACTTGATCCATCAGCCTGAACCGAAAAAAAAACTGCTTGTTTTTATGAGCTAATCGCTGCGTCTACTTCTGCGTTTATTCTTTATTTCTGAAAGGGTTCGATTATTGTAGACTGATTAATAGCAGTTTACTAAGTATTTGTTGAAATATTAAGTAGACGTAACGGCGAACGGCTCTCGCGTGGTGATGTCAGCACCTTGGACGGAGCTTTTCCAGAGTGGTACAAACATTCTGTATTAATTGCGGTCGCATGGTGGAACAGGGTCCGACGTAAATCTTGGGTTTTAGGACAAGCTGCTTGTAGACTTGTAGTTCTGGGATTTGAAAAGAAGTTCAGTAATGATGAAAACAGAGTGACTGGAATACAGACTGGTTTCTGCTGAAATATAGCCTAGCTAAAATAGGATTTGTCTGTTTTCCAAGTGTGTTTTCACTGTTGCGGTTACCACGTTATGAAATCTTTAAAGGTACAATAGTCACAGCATTCGATGTACCATTAGGCGCCTCAGCACTTAGCAGATTTATAACGGCTGTAATGGTTGCTGTGTGCAGTTTTCTCTAGATGTTTATTGGGTGGGATGGTAGACTCTCGCTACTCTAGCACAGCAAGAAAGGAGAAAACAGTAATATGGTTAAATTGGACTTTTGTGTACAGTCTCTACTGTAGGACACCAAAAACTGAAGAAGACAAGATGCTAAGATAATGTTTAATTGTTATATTGGCCTAGTTTTAGATTGAACTAGAGCTGAAAGATATACAGTCCTGCAATCCTTACCATATGACTAGATTTTGTTTATCTAGATATACCCTTTATGATAAAGCTAATAACTGCTCGTGCATCTCACTGAGATTTGAAATGTTATGTCAGCACCAAGCTACCAGTCACTTTTCCACACTGAGTTTAGTACTATACATGCCAGCTGTAGCATAAACAACTTAAAAGCATATATATATGTTGCATTGGTTCATCTCAGTCATCTTTCCTGATGTTCTCATTTTCTTCTTTTGAGTTTTGGTTCCTCTCAGTGGTTCTCCTCATGTTCTTAGAGGAGTGGTCACCATCCCTCCTCCTTTAGATCTACTTTCCTGCAGTTTAGTTTCAAACTGCATGTAACATCCTGCCCGTCCCCTCACCCGGCACTGATAAATCTCATCAAGTCAGTGAAGGACTTCTGAGGATGTTAATTAGCTGGAACAGGTGTGGCCAAAAATCGAGTCAACAATCGCTAATCGCTGATGATATCATGAAGAATACCACACAAGAAGAAAATGCTTTGCAATAAGCAACTTTAACAATCCAACTTTAAAAATCATAATCATAACAGAGCCAGTCTCCTCAGCTCAGCAGAGTGTGACGTGTCTATTCCAACAAGCCCTGGATTGCATTGATAGCCTTCACAGAACCGAAGATATGGATCCCAGAACCTCGCAAATTACATGCACCCTAGGCACCCTTGCCAAGACATTCTCCCACCGTGAGAGCCAGAGAAATTTAGAGTGCTTTAACTCAGCAAATAAGAGTAACTGACTTCAAACTACAGGATTACAGGGTGTTATGTTCCCCCTCCACTCACACACGACTTTTGTTGTAGTCTTTGAGAAACCAGAGTTAACAGCATTCAATATCTGTTCTTTGAAGCTCTGAGATCAGTGGAAATGATAAAATGAAGCCAAACTCCACAGGTCAGTAGAGCATATTCTGCCTTTTCCAATGAGCCTTGGATTGCACTGCCAGCCTTCAAGAAACCGGGGAAATAGACCCTGAAATCACCAGGCTCCTCACCTGCTGTCTTCTCTGAGGCATCCGTATTGTTAACGTCATAATCATGTGATCAGCGACAAGTCGACATCAATCTTAATGCATCTTCATTGAGCAGGAAAGTCAACTAGTCTGTGCAACCTCCTAGACTACACTGATCAGGCATAACATTCTGACCACCTCCTTGTTTCTACACTCATTGTCCATTTTATCAGCTCCACTTACTATATAGGTGCACTTTGTAGTTCTACAGTTACAGACTGTAGTCCATCTGTTTCTCTGATACTTTGTTAGCCCCCTTTTACCCTGTTCTTCAGTGGTCAGGACCCCCATGGATCCTCACAGAGCAGGTACTGTTTGGGTGGTGGATCATTCTCAGCACTGCAGTAACACTGACGTGGTGGTGGTGTGTTAGTGTGTGTTGTGCTGGTTTGAGTGGATCAGACACAGCAGTGCTGCTGGAGTTTTTAAACACCTCAGTGTCACTGCTGGACTGAGAATAGTCCACCAACCAAAAATATCCAGCCAACAGCGTCCTGTGCGCAGCGTCCTGTGACCACTGATGAAGGACTAGAGGATGACCAACACAAACTGTGCAGCAGCAGATGAGCTATCATCTCTGACTTTACATCTACAAGGTGGACTGACAAGGTAGGAGTGTCTAATAGAGTGGACAGTGAGTGGACACAGTGTTTAAAACTCCAGCAGCACTGCTGTGTCTGATCCACTCGCACCAGCACAACACACACTAGCACACCACCACCACGTCAGTGTTACTGCAGTGCTGAGAATGACCCACCACCCAAATAGTACCTGCTCTGTGAGGGTCCATGGGGGTCCTGACCACTGAAGAACAGGGTAAAAGGGGGCTAACAAAGTATCAGAGAAACAGATGGACTACAGTCTGTAACTGTAGAACTACAAAGTGCACCTATATAGTAAGTGGAGCTGATAAAATGGACGATGAGCGTAGAAACAAGGAGGTGGTCAGAATGTTATGCCTTATTGGTGTATATGACCATGAACATCATGTGCTTCTTTTCCCTCAAAGTTGGGCAGCATGTGAGTTTAATGGTGTGGGAAACGCTGCATTCACTCACCACTGAAACAAACACATTTTTGTTTTTGTCTTTACTTACTTCCCACATTCACAGACAATACAAACCAAAACATTATAAAAAAGGCACATACAAAGTGTCGGTCATGATGAGGGCACTGTATGTACAGGAATTGCACAAATTCTTATCCATTCATAAACATTCTCCAACACACTCACTATTTGCAGTCTCCCCCAAAAAACTAAGCGTGAAATGTGAGTATGTGCTCACTGTGTGAGCTGAGGATGGTCTGTTTGAGCTGAACTCACAGCTGGTTCTTATTAGTGGTGCATGCAGTGGCCTCCCCTTCATGCTCAGTGTGGTTTTGGAGGAGCTTCTCATTTTCACAGTTGAGGAACTTTCCTGTGCTGGAGGTTTCTGATAACCTTTTTCTGAATGCAAAGCAGGTCAGTAGTGACCTAAAGCGTCTGTGCGATATGAGTAAATAGAGAGTTTTTCCATTTTTCCACCTTTTGCTGATAAAGTGGAAAACGGTTCCTGCCTGTGCGGAATGAGCGGCCTTTTTTCTGAGAGGAGCAAGAAGCTATTTGGTGTTGTTGCTTAGCTTTTCCATGGTTAAATCCAAGGAGCTATTAAAGTGAAGAAAAAAAAACACCACTAAGTAACTCTACACTCAAATCTAAGGAATGGCAAATGTCGTTTTCTGAGCATTCAAGTTTAGATCTCTAAACGCTGATGCCTGCAGTTATGGAAGTCATTATTTTCAGATCGTACACTGGTTTTACACGTAGTGCAGAGATTAGAAAAGTACGACAGATTAAAGCCAACGATTTCTCAGCATTTACTCAACCACAACCAGCAATTAAAGTCTACCTTGGCTCCCTAATTTGGGCACGGCTGGAGAAGGGAGTTGATTTTGGCTTGCAGATGAGAGGGCAGCTCTGATAACAGGACTAGTTTTCTGGGAGGGGATGGCTAAAGATGGCTGTTTATGTAATGCCGCAAGCTACAGTTAGCTGTCAGACATAACACAGAGGAGCCTGTACTGTACATGGAATGTGTCGCAAAAAGCTATGTACAAAACAAAAGCTAAGCACACAACACTGTATATGTGGTTAGAAAAACATAACAAACATTGAACTTAATATTGTGTATTATAAATAACTAATTTCCTCAGTGAAATGGGACAGTCCAGGGCTTAATTTGTAAATGTTGAGGTCCTAGAACACAAAGTACAGTGGGATCAGGTTCCCAAACAAAACATGATTAGACACACAGCTTGAGATTTTCCCATAACATTGGATCACTAATGAGTGAGGCTCTTAAACGAGGCTCTTAAGCATTGAACCTTTTCTCAGATGTGGGTTTCCCAAAATTAAACTAAGTTTTTAATGAGTAGTTAATAAATTGACTCACATTTCTCATCTCTTCTAAGGGATGAACAGCAGTAGTGACGCATTTGCGAGTGATAAACAGCGTCAGTATTGTTTTTATTACAGTTTCTATCACCACGTAAATGAACAGGAGCTGCAAGTGAACCATGGCACGAGGAGAAGCAGCTCACTGCTGTTTAGTTAGCTTCCATGTTGTCATGCTCTACAGCATTTGTCAAGTTGTTTGCAGAAAATATTCATCTTTTTTCTCTACAGATCTCTACAGATCATCATATGATGATAAGTTCTGGACCTGATCTGGGAGATGCTGGATCCAGATTTGGCACAAATTAAGCCCTGGCTTAGTCCTACACTGTTTTGTCCTCAAAAAGTATTTGGGCATACACAGTTCCTGTCTTTGATGTTTTGGAGTCCGGTAGTGGCTTAACCAGTTCAAGCTCTGCATACGTCAGATTCTCCTCAGCAATCTTTGGCTGTAAGATCAAAAAGGGGAGAAGAAAGTTATTCAAATTAATCAATTAAACAGTTACGGTGACCAGCTGCCAGCTGCACCAGCTGAACATAAGTTTGATCACAAGTTGAGATGTAAAGTCCGTCCCAAACCTCACGTTGAGAGTAGTTAGTTTTAAACTAGCAACATACAGAATTTCAGTTGCACCACAGACACTTACGATACATCATAACTAGTAGAGCGTAAAGCTTCAGAATATTGTCGCACAGAAGGACATTTTCACTCTCTGGAGCCAATCTGTGGCTAGTAGGTCTGTGATCTATTCTATCTCCGATCAATGAAAACAGAAGCGCGAGTATAAATCGAAGTCGTCAAATTGATCAAACGTGTGTATCTATCCTGCAGAACTGGTTGCAGATGCAACTGAGACGTATTTTGTTTTCTCGCAAGTTTTCCTATCGAAAACTCAACAGATTTTTACAGCAGAATTTACGGCTATTATAGTAAATGTGTAAATTTTAAGTTATAATTTAAAGCTACATTTAAACTATGTTACTTGGTGCAACTGGTTAAATTCTAGTTGCTCATAAACTTGATTGTAGAGGCAGTTTATGTTCAAACTAGGCTGCAGTCAAACTTATATTCAACTGATACAACTGGCTGCTGAAATATACTGATACCATGGAAACCAACATCACTAAGAAACAGCTCTAACACAAGGCCTCACCTGAGGACATCTTTTCGTATTTACATATTTTCATATAATCTTAAGAAACATGGTGCTATTTAATACCTGAAAAAAAGTTTTTTTGGCTTATAACAATAGCAGAACCCTTTTTGGTGCTATATAGTGCCATTTTCAAAAAGATTCATGAAAGAACCATGAATGACAGGTCCTTAATCATACACTCTTAAAAAAGAAGGTTCTTCAAGGGTTCTTTAGTAAAGATAATAGCTATACAAAGAACCATGAACAATCAAAGCATGTTAAAAGGGTTCTTTGCATGGTGACATGGTTCTTCAAATTGATGGAGAATGTATGTGGTTCTATAAAGAATCTATTTGAATATGGGTCTATATACCACCAAAACGCATCCTTCAGCAGAATCCTTTTTGGTACTATATAGAACCATAAACAACACATTCTAAATCAATCTGAAAAACCATTCAAGTATGCAGATATTTCTTTGTGTGTTCGTTCTTCATCGTCTTTACTCAAGAACCCTTGAAAAAAAAATAGTGGAAGAATCATTTAACCAAGTAAAGAATCATTTAAGTATTCAAGTGGTTCTTTGAGTTATTGTGGTTCTAGATATGATGACTACCTTTTGTAAATAACCCTCAAAGAACATTTATGGTGTTTGGCAGACTCTGAAATTCACAGCAACTTTTAATAAAGCTACATGATGTAGGGAAATGTAGCATTAGGAGTCTTTTTAGTGTAGTGCGATGTGATTGGCTGGGCAAAGAATCAAACAGCAGCCCACTCTGTGAAAAGCAGTGTTATTACCTGCTACGCTACACCAACTACTAAACAATGGGATTGTTGCTGAAGCAGGAATTTAAAGCCCACTCTCCCCCATACTGGGTTGTAGTGTTATCCACTATGCTTTCTCAGCTCTCATTACTTATTTAAGGGTCTAAAGCAATTAAAGTTTTAATTAAACAGAAAAAAAATGAAAATTAACTCACTTAAATCTCACAGTTTACCAAATGTGTCAAATTTGTGTTACGTTGCAGCAGAAAATAAGGCTGGGAAATTTGCACAAGTAGAGCAGCACAGTTTTTTCCAGCCATCGTAGCTGTACCTGTTGCCATTCTTGCTAAAAATCTCAGAATTAGTTCTGCTTGTAAAATAACACCCAGGGCTGCAGTAAGACAGTCTGCATCTCCATTTCATTGACAGACATTTGGAGCATCATCAGGAAACTTACCAAAATGATGTTTCTCGGCTGAGGCTTTAAAAGTTTCGGCTTTCGTAGTTTGTCTGCGATGGGAGCTGGAAAATGATACAGTAGTGAAATGATCAAATGGTGTTAGAAAAGTGTTTGAAAGACTTTTTTAAGTAAAAGAATTTTCAAAAACAGTGACGTCTAGCAGCACTTTCAACAGTACCTTTAGCAGGGATCTCCGGTGGCACGTCCACCTGTTCTACTGTTTTCCTTGTCTTGTACTTCCTCTGCTTTTTGGGTAGAGCTGGAGATAGGCTGACCACACTAGTGACTGTCTCCCCAGAACTGGACACAGAAAGATGTTCAAATCAGTTCAGGTCAGTTGTGTTTGTATAGTGCTTTTTATAGCTGACATTATCCTAAAGCAGCTTTCCAGAATTGTGAGTTTAGCTCTTAATGAGCATCGCTGAGTGTGACAGTGGCTGGAAAAACTCAAAATTAAGTTGGGTTACCCTTCATTAAGCCCACAATGGGAAATTCACCTCACCTCTATTTAACCCATAACTCCACATACACACTAGTGAACACACACACAGTTGTCACTTTTAAGTAGCATTTGTGTGGCTGATTACAGTGATAATTTTCAGCAGTGCCTCTATAAAAAGTCATATTTGACAATTTCATGTTAATGTAAAGCTGGCGATGTTGTAATTGTGCATTTAATGGAAACGGTAGCATAAACTCGAGAAATCAAAGTTTGTAACAGACATACATATACAAGTAACATATCACTGCTGTCAGAACAAAACCGTGTACTCTTTTTTGTTTTGTTTTTTTTCCTTTTTTGTAGTTTTTGATATAATTTAAAAATGCCTGTTGCTCTTTACATAACATGAATGGACCAAAAGAAACGGCCCTGAATTACTTGTATAAAGTCACAGATAGATGAAAACTGACACCGGAGATCATCTTTAAATTAAGATCATAAGATTGTGGTGAGTATCACTGTCTTTCTTTCACTCTGGCAAAATAGTTTCCTTTATGAACCGGACTCACCTGTTCTGAGGGCTCTTGACCAAATGATAATTTTCTGCATGGACAGAAAACAATTAGAATAATAAACCATAAAAATCAGTCGTATGTTTATTTTTGGTAGCACTTTCACATTGTCATGCATGCATCCCTACAATACGTCCACGTGCAGCATGCGGTCAGATGAAGGCGACGGGTTCGATACTTGTACCTTTTAAATGCCTCTTCCTCTGCAGATACTGGCAGCTCACGGCCACAGTGAACATACACATGCACAGCAGCCCCACACTACAGATCAGCACCGCACACAGATACACGTCTGAAACGCAAACCAAACACTCTCTTCAGCCTATGTAGTCTCACAGGGCCAGATGGGATCTCATAACGAGAACGTCAGGGGACAAACTTGAGAAACTTTGGGCTAAATGTGGGGGAATATTGACTTATTAGAGTGGGAAAATTCAAAAACAATCCAGGACCCTGTGAAGGCAGAGTTCACAGTAGGGGGCGCTACTGAGCTTGTCAACATTGTTAGCACATGGATGTGACAAAAGTGAAAAGATTCCCCAAAACACTTAAATTAAGGATGTTCTGTGAAACCAGACAGTAGACTGAGCTGTAGAAGATATCACTAGGCTAGTGATAAATGTTGGGTTCCCAGTGGCTGTATGAGGCCTGTTTACAGAACTGCTGACAAACCTAAACTGACCCTCTAGGGTCCATAAACTTGCTTGCATGTCAAATTCTCTGTCTCTATATCTGTTTGTGTATCTTTGTGATGATCCAGCTCAGAAATCCAGTTCAAACACTTCCTGAATCTGTAGAGTCGCCCTTTCCATTCCATCTTATCACGAGATCATACGAGAATCACATCCAGAGTTATGAGCCTATGAAGAGGGGCTGAGATACACGTCATCTGCCTCTCACCGTGTGGAGCAGGTGGATTCGCGTGTCCGTCTACATTCTGTGTGAAACTGGCCAATGGACACTCAGGAAATCACTAAGGACTGACCATCACGCCGGAAACCCTTCATTCTTCATTCAGTCCACATCGGAGACTCATGTGAAACGGCGTGCAGAGAGTTTACAGCTGCTGAAGCTGCTGCAGCGGTTTTGGAAAGTAGTGATGAAGATAACGGAGCATTTAGATATGAAACATTTGAGGATCATGTTATATGAAGAGCCTTTAAAGGGGGACTTGAGATGAACAAATCGAAAAAATTACCCCAGAGGGTTGAACAGCTCCTTAAACATTATTTTTAAAGAATGAACATTAGATAACGATTGTGTTTTGCTAGCCAGCTTGTTTGTCTTGTATCAATTGTGCTCCAGAACACAGATTAGAGGAAGTTGGGGACCAGGACCAAATCCAGATGCATTCTTGTCAAGATCACATCTGACCATGCGAGACTATAGTTTATGTCCTTCATTCTGGGTGCTAACATAAGAGCAGTGGTGGACAGAGTTTACCATTCCTGCACCTGAGTGAAGGTACAGACACCCCTGGTGAAATATTGCTTAAGTGAAAGTTGAAGTTCTCTGTTTATGTTTATTCTTGAGCACTTGCTTTCAAATGTTCTAAAAGGTGCAAGTTCTTGATGTATCTATAAAGATGTACAGATATTCCTTGATATGTGTCCACAATTAATTAATTAAATAATTAATTAATCATAGAATGGTTAATCATTTAAACAGTAGCTCTTTTTCATGCACATTACTTAATTATAATTAGCTTCTTAACAAACTGTTAGAGGTTGCTCTTTTATAGAGGCCTGTTATGATAAAGTGTTACCCACTTTCTTGAAAAAGAAGGTTCTTCAAGAGTTCTTTGGTAAAGGGAATGGTTCTATTCAGAACCATGGGTTCTATATAGAACTAGTTGCATGATTAAATGGTTCTTTGCATGGTGAAATGGTTCCTCAGATTGATGGAGAATGTGATGTACACGGTCAGAAATAAAGGTTCTGTTCAGGTACATTTTTCGTTCATCAAGGTACAAACAGTGTAAATGTTCCCTCAAAGCTCCAACAGTGGTTTTATGGTCTGATTGTGAACCTTAAATAAGTTTCTCCAGGTGAAAAGTTCGTATTTGTACCTTTTCATAACCGAATGTTTTAAACAGAACAGTAAAATAAAAGCCTGGAGACGAGACGGGGTGTGTGGAGTCAGTACAGCTTAGAACATATCATTTCAGTGGATTATGGTACAGTTATGTTCCCCGACTAAAGGGACTGAGATGGAGGGTTCCACCCCAGTGACAAGAGAGGTACTGCCCCAGTGAGAGTTTAGAACCTTTATTTCTGAGAAATAAATGTGTGTTCTATAGAACCATATACAACCCATCAATCTGAAGCATGCAGTGTCCGATATAGAGCTCATGGTTTGAAATAGAAGCATTGCCTTTATTAAAGAACCTTTGAAGAACCATCTTTTTTTTAAGAGTGCATGTACTTTGTTATTGTCCACCACAGTAGCTTGTAGAAGAGGGTCACCAGCTTTTTACCCACTGCACTAAAAACAACCACAGCAGGTTCACTTCCGAGTCTCACCGTTTAGACTAACTCATCCGGAACTTGTGCTGTGGAGAGAACAAGTGGGCGGCAGTTTATTTTCTCGGGTTTGTCTTATTTTTTTTTACCTAAATCTGAAAGAAAGGCGGCCCTTCTTTCCGCCTCAGTCGGCTCAGTTTTTCTCCGACACAATGTGGGTCAGTGCAGCGCTGTGGCTTACCTTCAAACAGACTCCACAGTCCCTCCTTGGCACTGCCGGCTGGGAGGACGTGCACTGCGGAAGGAGAAGAAGAAGTGCACACTCATCACTGTGGCTCCCTTGCCTGGGTAATTGCACAGAGCGCAGGGTTAAATAAAGTTAATTATAGGGGGGTTACATGTGGGCTGACAGCTCGGAGGCTATCCCTTTCTCTGAACGCTCCCGTTCTCGGCCAGCAGCTCGCGGTGGCTGATACCCACTGTGACGCCCTGAAATACCCATAACCACCAGCAGCTGACGACAGTAAGGCTGGCCTGGCCCGAAGACGCCAAGAGCAGGACTGCTGACTGCTAGAGCTTTGGGTTCCCAACAGGACAGTGTCAGCCTACAAACTTCCGTCCTCACAGTTCAGTTATTTCGCTCTCATAACTCATTGAAAGAAGTGGAATGTGAAGATTCCACACTTTCGATCCACGATCATGAGTCATCATCAAACCGAGGGGAACAAAGCCAAACCTGTTGATAATGAATGTAAATGTGACTCTCTAATTAATTATGCGACTGTATGAAAAGTACAGACATTAGTCAACACTTTGTTTGACGGCTACCAAGGTAGGAGCTTCACAACACATGCATAAGCACTGAATAACATATTCGTAACACTTTATAAGAGAAGGCCCTAATGGACAGCAACTTAATCAGCACCTAATAGTTTGTTAATGATTGTCTATAGTCATATAAAAATAAATTAAGAAATTAATATTGCATTTAATGGCATACAAAATCATTCCTTATTAGGAATTGCAGAAACTTAATTATTAATTATAGTTAATAGTTAATAATTTTTAATATTAAAAATTTTGTTTTCATTATTAGACACACATCTCATAAATTGTAAGCAGTCATATTGTTTCATGACAACAATAAATAATCATTATGAATAACAAAGTGTCTGTTTTAAATGATTAAAAAGTTATTTACCGTTTTGCTACCAATCATTAATATGACTGATGATATAAAAGTGCAAATTTGTATCATATTCACAAAGTCATATCATGCACTCAAATATAATACATTTATGTGACTAAGTAAATGTGTAATGAATCAAATGGCAGCAAACTATTAAATAATGTATATACACGTATATACACTCACACACTTTATTAGGGAAGCTTCTTGCCTCCACACTCACTGTCCATTGTATCAGCTCCACTGACCATATAGTTTCACTTTGTAGTTCTACAGTTACAGACTGTAGTCCATCTGTTTCTCTGCACACTTCTGTTACCCTGTTCTTCAGTGCTCAGGACCCCCATGGACCCTCACAGAGCAGGTACTATTTGGGTGGTGAGTCATTCTCAGCACTGCAGTAACACTGACGTGGTGGTGGTGTGTTAGTGTGTGTTGTGCTGGTCTGAGTGGATCAGACACAGCAGTGCTGCTGGAGTTTTAAACACCTTAGTGTCACTGCTGGACTGAGAATAGTCCACCAACCAAAAATATCCAGCCAACAGCGTCCTGTGGGCAGCATCCTGTGGGCAGCGTCCTGTGACCACTGATGAAGGACTAGAGGATGACCAACACAAACTGTGCAGCAGCAGATGAGCTATCGTCTCTGACTTATACATTTACAAGGTGGACTGACAAGGTAGGAGTGTCTAATAGAGTGGACAGTGAGTGGACACAGTGTTTAAAAACTCCAGCAGCACTGCTGTGTCTGATCCACTCGCACCAGCACAACACACACTAACACACCACCACCACGTCAGTGTTACTGCAGTGCTGAGAATGACTCACCACCCAAATAGTACCTGCTCTGTGAGGGTCCATGGGGGTCCTGACCACTGAAGAACAGGGTAACAGAGGCATGCAGAGAAACAGATGGACTACAGTCTGTATCTGTAGAACTACAAAGTGCACCTATATAGTAAGTGGAGCTGATAAAATGGACAATGAGTGTAGAAACAAGGAGGTGGACCTAAAAAAGTGCTTAGTTGCATATATATATATATATATATATATATAGTATTCATATATTCTCATAACAAATCTTGTGCTTCAGTGGAAGTAGAAATACCCCTTGTACAGTTTTAAAGCAATAAAAGTAGACGTTCGCTGTCTGAATTTATACATGAGATCAAGAGAACAAAAGTGCTTGTTTTTTTTATATCACTTTGATTAAGAAGTACTATTAAGGACAGTTGTGTAGCTTTGGAGATCTCCTTAATAGATGTTGTATTTTTGTTCTTTAACTGAAGTAGAAATCTACATAACTGATATGTATAGCTTTATTAAGAAGGCCTCTACCTTTTACGATCCATTACGTTGGGAATGATGCTTGAAACTGTGTTATAAATAAATAAAAATAAATGTTACTTTAGATTATGGGCCCTTTGCCAAAACAAAGTCATTTATTTCATCTAGTTAAGTTAAGTTAAGTGACCCTTATTAGTCCAACAACTGGGAAATTTCACCTCCGTATTTTAACCCGTCCGTGCAGTGAAAAACCCACGTACACACTAGTGAATGCACACACTAGGGTGCAGTAAGCACACTTGCCCGGAGCGGTGGGCAGCCCTATCCACGGTGCCTGGGGAGCAGTTGGGGGTTAGGTGCCTGTTTGTGTCAAACCTCAGTTCATCTTTAGCTGCTCTAATGCAGAATCTGGCGATGCATATTCATTGGGAGGATAAAAAAAGCCATGATAAACCACATGCCATGTTTAGTTTATGTGTTTTTATTCACAGACTGCTTAATAACCCGCTCATTTTCGTGGTCTTATTCATGCATGACAGAACTGGAAAATGAACACGAGGCTCTTTCTGTTGAGTCACAGAAATCATGGTTGGACAAAAAGGCCTAGGAAAAAAACAGTGTGCCGCAGCTTTCACTCTTAATGAAGGCTGTAAAAAGGGGGTGAACGGCACTGCGGCAGAGAGAGATGTCTGGCTACTCAAAGTCCTTTTGGAAGATACAGAGTGAAGCTCTCAAACCACGGCGTCAATAGAGCAGCTGCGAGTGCCGAGACGTCGCTGCCTTTTCACCAAAACACTCCTCAAATGGAACAAATGTGGCTGTGATGAACATCTTTAAAGGAATTCTGTAGCTACTGAGCCACTCCAGCAAAGAAAAACATGTATTAACCATTGCAGCCTTTTTTTGGACTAACAGTTATTTTGTTTTGTACAGCCTTTAACACTAAAAAGCCAAACTGCTTTGTTTACATTTTAGTGACACCTTTATTTTAAATACCGGGCATCAAACAATATCATACCGTAGATGATTTGTACAAAAAATGTCATATATACTGTATACTACTATGAATAAATCAGACTTTCAGACATAAACAGAGAGATTCAGAGTGGTTTGGTGTGAAATGGTTCAGATGTCTTTACAGTGGTGGTGATAGGAACCAGGGGTCGCCATGACTACAACACAAATATAGACATTTTATTTACTATCCAGAACCACCAGTGAACCTACACGAGTCTTCTGAGCTTATATGGAATGTTGATGATGGAAAATAGTGGAAAATCTGAAATAATAAGTTTTCTTTGGGGACTATTTTGCCTCACAGCGCCCATGCATGTATCCCTCCACCATGAATGGAGTTTAAGTTCTCAAAACTATCATAAAACAGTGTCTCAGTCATCAGGCAGTGAATTCATAACCATTTCATGTAGGAACTTTCTGTGAGGGAGCTTTTAGAGGTGGACATCACCACCACTGTGAACAGTTCTGACTTGGTACATTTATCTAGAACAGAGCGTTTCACACCAAACCGCTCTGAATCACTCTGATTACATCTTAAGCAGTTAATTATGCAGGAATTTTGAAAATGGGTGTAATTCCCCCTCATGTTCTCAGATTTTCACCAATGATTTTGTAGTTGTTCTGCAAAAAAAATAGATGTTGGCAAGTGAAGTGATTCTAAAGCTAGTCTAGATCTAATGTTTCACTCACATTATGAGTTAGGTGTAATAAAAATATTTCCAAATACTGTTTCTAAAACAAATTAGCCACCAATATAATACAAATTTTCTAAATAAAATGACTTAAAGCATGTAAATACATCTAGAAATAGTTATTATAAGAAAGAGTCTTATAATATTCTCAAAATGAGAAATATTAGATATTTAGATTAGACCGCATGTAGTATTTTAGCATTTTCACTCAAACAACCAAAACTCTAGGCCTCAAATTTAGATCTCATGTAGATAATTTACATTTCAGCGGACTGAACTGTCATTTCCTGTCATGTTTTTCATGGAACGCCTCCCTGCAGCGTGCTGTTATCTTGCCCACAAAAGTTGTTGGTGTTCCCTCCTCTCTGTGTTTTACTGTATACTTAAATCCTGACCACATCCTCTGCAGCGCTGCAGAATCTCCTACAATCCCAACAGCTCTGCATGACCATCAGATACTTTCAGGACAAAGTCTCGTCTCATTATGACCAGTGATAAAGATCAGGCACAGTGTTGCCACCCAGTTAAAGTTTAAATTAAAGTAGAGCCGGCTGGTGTGAAGGAGCTTTCAGAAACGAGCATAGAAAAAGATGGTTCTTCAAGAATTCTTTCATAAAGAAAATGGTTCTAGAGGGTACCAAGAACACTCAAAAAACTCTTTACATGATTGCATCATGAAATGGCTCTTCAGATTGATGGAGAATGCACTGTAGATGGTTCTATATAGAACCTTTTTGAAAATGGTTCTATACAGCACCAAAAGGTGTTCTTCTATCATTACAAGCTTGACAGTCGAAGACCCCTTTTTGGTGCTCCTTTAATCAATTCTTTGAGTGTTCATGGTTCCATATAGAACCATTTTTTTTGCTAAAGAACCATCAGGTAAATGTTAGAGTGTACAAGATTCACATAGGCACAATCCTTCAAATAAAAACAAATCTATTTTTGAAAAAATGACCGTTATTAGAAATATATTGTACAAGAAAACTCAGCCTAACATCTCACCATTTTAAGTAGATGGAAATGACAAATATTGAGCAAATAGTATAAAATTTAGTATGCTTGCTTGACGTGGACATTTTTGCAAAATAGAAGAAATGCAATAAATTTTGATGGAAACAAAATTATTAATATCAATGCAAATTTAATAAAGCCAAATGACTGATCAGATGTTTCTGTTTTTGCAGCCTTAGCTGTGAAACATGAGACGGCAGTAATGAAATTAAATTAAATAAAAAAAAATGAAATTAAAACATAACTTTATCTCATCAATGAACATTGATGTTGGATGGTAAACAGCTGATTATTGCAGATCTTCTGTCTCTAAGCCCTTATGATCTGAAAGATTAAACACAGCATTAAAGAAAAGCTCATCAGAATTCTCTGTAAACTCGCTTCACATTTATCAGAGAGTTTTATTCTTCTGATGGAAACTCGTCGAATTTGCATCACTATTCGTAAGATATCAGTTATTGGCTTGAATTTGCTTCCACAGCTGGATGGAAACTTCCACTGGAACATAGTGATGATGATATCTTCTTAATAGCCACAGGAATCAAAAGTCAGTCCTGGGCTGTCCTCCCTTGTCTGGATTGATAGCGTATTGAAGGTAAGGAATCTTCTCTGGAATATGAAATGTGATTCCAGATCTGCGACCCCGTTCGCCTCCAGTCTGGAAAACAGCATCTGAGAACCGAGACGGTTTCACCTCAGAAGTGACAGTAGACACTGTACTGGTGGCCAGATGGTTAATCTATTACTCTCCCACCACTTCTTCCTCCTCCTCCTCCTCCTTACAGACACACTCTTCAGCAGCCAGGCTTATACTGTCTCTTTGGCCTCTGTGTGTTTGTATGTCTGGGTTGTAATTGAGTGAAGGGAAACTCTGCAGCCAGTACCAACAGCCTTTAGCTATCATTACTCCCTGTAAACAGCTACACTGAACTCAGACTTGACTTTATGTTAGGAATTTACATTATATTATAATGCTTTCAATCACCCAAGCTGAATTTTGGACCATCTAGAGCTTATGAAGTGATAAGGAACTAAAGTCCAGGTTGAAATGCCCCATAATGTGACTGAGAAGGAGAATATAGTTAAAAATAACAGTGGTCTGAGTATTGACCCTTGGGGGACCTCACAAATGCCACTAGAGGCATTTTAATGTAATGCTGATAAAAAAGGGCATTGCAGTAGTTTTTATGCTGTGATGCATTGCTTATATAATTTCCTACAAGTGCACCAAACAAATTACAACTTGTGCAAAATGCAGCAGTGTGAAAATTAACAGAGCAGTTTTACTTCACTGCACTGGCTGCTTGTTTCCTTTAGAGTCCACTATAAAACTTTACTGCTACTCTTTAACTCTCTTAATGCTTAACACCTTCATACACCTCTGAGTGCTGATAGATGATGATCCAGATCCAGCTTTAAGATCATCCAGTGCTGCTTCTCCATGTTCCACACATGAGGCTTAAACAGAGTGGAGAGGTTCTGTTTTTATGCACCAAAGATCTGGAACACATTACCGATAAATGTCCATCTGGCTGCTTCTGCCAGTGTCAATAAAAACATATTTCTTTACTTTAGCATTAAATTAGGTTTTTCTTTTTTTTCTTAGATTTTTTAATTTTTACCACAATATAACATTATTTTTTCTGTGGTTTGTATTTTAACTGTATGTTTAATTATAATTTTATCTTGTGCATTTTATTATTATATTATTAATATATTTTTTTATTATTGTCTGTTTTATTTTTTGATTCTGTCTCTGTTGTTTTTACTGTGTATTGTGAAGCACTTTGAGCTGCATTTCTAGTGTATGAAAGCTGCTCTATAAATAAAGATTATTAGTTTAAGCAGACAGAGATTGAGAAAGGCAGAATCGAATTCTAGTATGTTATGGATCTTAGTAGAAAGAGGCTTTTACAAAAACATCTAAAGGGGGGGGGGTTAAATGAGAGAGGGGGATCCAGAATGACACCAACATTTCAAACCAGAGTGGAAGGGGTAACAGCTGTGTGGCGAATGCTGCAGTGATACAGAGCCAGATTTATTGACGGTTGATCTACAGCTGGCTTCGCTTTAATTCTCTATGCTTTATTTCATCAGTTTCTGATGTGTTTGTTTTAGACAGATTTGATGTGTAAGGAAATTTGGATGTAATCTGCAATAAAAGTCCAGGTTGAAATTTTGTATACTGTGGCCAAGAAGGAGTATGTAGATGATAAGCAGCAGTGGTCTGAGTACCATCCCTTGGGGAACCTCTTGAGTGACACTAGAGCAATGTTTATATAATGCAAATGTTGTGGGGCGGTATTATTCACCTCCAACTCCAACACTTTCCATCTGCAAATTTGAATCTATCAGTATCTTTTAGAATTAAGTGTTAAAAGTGGTACTGCAGGTTCACAACGTGATACAAATGGCTTTTAAAAGCTGAGAAAAGCTACACATAAATAAAATGGGCAGAAGTGACCTCTTGCCTGCCAAATAGTGGGCCTAAAATTCTCTATAATGTTAAACCTCAGATGTTACTGGTTACATATCTTGCTTTGACATTTGCTTGCTTTGATGTTCATCACTGCTGCCCTTTATTTGTGTTATAAAGTGATTATAAATGAGTTTTAAGATGTTTGTGACTAAAGTAATAACCAGAAAACTAATTTTAAACCATTCATAAACTCCTTATAAGGGTAGTTGTAAAGTAGTAGCTAATTATGTAACAATTGCCATATCATTCAAATCAAGCTATTCGGTAATAGCAATGGAGAGACAAACAGAGCCTAAAACCTTTGATAAAAACTGATGAGCCACACAACCTGTAAAATCTTCTCCGACCTAGAAACAGCTTCTGTGGTGAATGGACTGGTCAGTTGGCTTACCTTTGAGTTCTGTAGCAGCTGAGGAGTTGGTGGACGCTTTCCATCGATCCCGATGCTTCTTAAACTCCTGGACTCTGCAGCTGTAGAGGCCTCTGTCATAACTAGTGATGTTGATGATCAGAAGGTTGTAGATCTTCCCTTGTTTCACCACTATCAACTTCATCTTAGGCTTGGGGAAGCTCTTGGTGTAGTTTCCGTAGAACTTGGCCTTCCTCATGTTTACCTTGGCCACGAGTTGTTCGTCACCTCCCCACATCGGCTGGAACATCCAGCGCACCACGGGAAGACTGTCCGTCTTGTGCTGCTGGGTCACCTGACACGAAAGCGTAACGTTCTCCCCCTCGGCTGCCACCGTGAACGGAGATGGAGTGACTGTGACGTTGATGGCTCTGCAAACATCTTGAGAAGATGGATATGAGGGTCAGCACTATTTTGAATAGTTTAGTATCAGTTAGGATTACTATGTCACAGTTTTCCAGTTTAAGGCTTTAATAAAGGGACTTTATTACACTTGTTTGTTTTCTTTTAGGCTGGGATCTGACCAATGAGGACACTTTGTGACTGAACAGGGTTGTTTTCTAAGTAGTATCTAAGTAGATAGCCAGTCCTTCCTTTGGTTAGCACTTGAGGATATTCAGGACTTCAGTTAACTACCAACATAATGAGGAAGTAACTGAGGAATCAACAACCACGCTTTGATTTACAATGGGTGGAGCCAATGGTGTGAGAAAAATTGATCTTCTGGAAGTTCTAGATATGTCACTGACTGTGAATATGAGTCTTAGTCTAAGCAGGTTCCGGGTAGTTGTTAGAAATGGAAAACAGTGGCAGTAGCTGTACTGAAAGAGTCGCTGTAATACTGATACATACAAGCTCAGATATACATAAATAAATAATAAAACATATGGGATACATTTTACAAGCTTCAAATGTCTGTATTTAATGTAGAATGGCCGAAAAATGTTAACAAGTAAATCACTGTTAGCTTAGTGCTAACATAGTAACAGAATATATAAGAACTCTAGCAGAAATTAGCATTATTGTAGAGGTGTTTTTTCCAATTATGGCCCTTTTCACAGGTTGCTACTGAATTGAACATGATCAAAAATGAAGCAGAATGGTTTTGGGTAAACAGTGCTTTGCTGATTGATACTATTGTCAGCTGCCATGTTTAATATTTCTTAAACTAAAGAAACTCACAAAGTCTAAAATAATCTAAATGATACAATAATAAGAACATTTGTAAATGTAAATATTATTGGTTTTAGATTGTTGGTATTACACAGTTGGATCTGGTTTATAACTCATTCATGTTTAGCAGGCTAAAGATTCTCCACAAGGGGGCGCCGTAAGGACTCAAGTAAATAACTTTTGGTGCAGCAGTATTCACTGTGTGTTTTGGATGTAAATTAGCTAAGATTTTTCATATTTTACATCAGATCTCTTCACATAAAGTATTTTTGTATTATAAATTGTTATTTATCCTCAAGCTAAAGGCTGGGTTATGTTTGGATGCATTTCTCCCATTTTTGTTAATGTATTTATGGTGTTTTGTGTTCAGGTTAACCAGTTTGTCTCCATTATTATATAAAACAAAACTCCAAGGCAGTATTGGTGCTTTACTAGCAGGATTTTTGATTTTAATAACTGTGCAGAACCTAAACCCTAAAATTTCCGGCTTTTTACATACTATGGCTTATCATTCAGTAACTACAGGGACTTAAATGCAAACTGGTTGAGCTCTTCTTTGGTTATAGAAGTGTGTAATAAAGCTTTGGGCCCACTGGCGTGTAAGGGGTTAATATCAGCCACCTGGTATATCAGTGGAGCCCTAAGTATTTCCCCAATTTTAAGGCTCTAAAGCAGCATATCCGAGTATCTGCTGTGACATTTTCCAGAGCTGGCTGCCTCTGCTCTACTTAATGAACCCTTTTTGACAGCCCATCTGGAGGCCGTTATTATTTGGGTGGACCTTGAATGCAGGTCAGAAATTGAGGGCAGTTTAACTGACTTTATTAAATGTAAGCATCTCTGTTGTCTAATATATTGCATTTCAGCTTCAACATCTGGTTTTCTTGCATAGGAACTTTCCACAGATGGTGGGCACTTTTTTAAAGAGCAAATAAACATGCTGTCCAGCAGCCTGCTGTCCCCTCTAATGCTGCTGGATATAGTAACAGCTATTGTGGCTGCTTGTATATGATGTACTCCGGAATGGGAGGCATATACACTATTCTAGTGAGGGAGGAGTCAAAAACCGCAGCTCCTTTTGTGGGGAGAAAAAGAAGTCAACAAAGAGGGAATTATCTTTCTTTGCAAGTTTTTCTCTATTTTCTTCAGGATAACAGGCCAAAGTTGTCTGAATCTTTGTGTTTCTGAGTTGTAATTTTGATTTAATCTGCATTATTAAGCTGGTATTCCCTCATTAATTGCAAATCTTTCAAAAGCTTCTTGTTTTTGCCACTTAATTAACAGTTCCTTAAAATTTCTTACCATTTCCTCATAAACACAAACACCCAGTGACTTGAAAATGCATTTTTGGCATCCATCATCCACACAAAGTTCTGGCTCTGGCTGATCCACATTTAGCATCCTTAACTGCACCTTTAATGCTCATGCTCATTTCAGGTCCGCTGAACAAACCATTATAAACTTCTTCTCAAACTGGACAGTGATATGGGAACAGAGTGTTCTTACCTCCGAAGAGAACACTAGTCAGGAAAACCGTGAGCACTGCAGAGATCTTCATCCCCCTGTCCGTCGGGCTCCATAAAACCTCAGTTAAATGTTGCTACAGAAAGGCGCCAGTCGAATCCTCCTCTCTTTTTTTCCCCTGTCTATGAAACTCGAGATGGGGCATGCCCTGTTTCCTCTTTCACGGATGCCATCGCTCCTCCCTCCCACACTCCTACGCTCCTTTATACCCTGAGCTATGACTCATATGCTGTTAAGGAACTCTCATTCTGTGAGACGTCAGGTCCTGCTATGGTCTGGACTTCATCTTTTAGGGTGTTTTCACACCTACCTTGTTAGGTGCAAACTTTTCCTTTAGTTTGGTTTGTTTAGACAGGTGTGAACGCTCTGCTCATACTTGGGTCCACACTAATCAAACTGTCCGTCAAATATCAGAGGTTTTTCCAAGTGAACCTTGGCTCAGTATGCTGCTGGTGGGAACACATTTTTGTGGTGATCAAACAAGGGAGTTTAGCATCAGAGCAGGCTTTTCTGCTTTTTCTAGCAAACATCAGCTCTGTACCGTCTGCATAATCGGCCTGTTTTAACATCTGACTCTTTATATACTCTCGTGTCATTCCGGCAGCATGACCTGCTGCTAATAATGGCAGAGCAAGAAAAGCATTGCATTCAATTTTGACACATGAACACATGGATTACGGAATGTATGTTTGACCAAGCATCAACTTCCTGATTCAGATACACAAACAATTTAATCAAAAGATCTTGTATCCCAGCCAATTTTACCCAATTTTCCCAATTTCAAATCATTTCCCAAGAATCCACCCCAAAGGAAAACTTGTGGCTTCTAAAAACAGTTTTAAGGTGGAAAGATGAAAATACATGAATGACATTAATGGTTTTTAATGCTTAATTATACCAGAATTGTTATGTTTAAGGCTTATTATACAGTAATGACATGGGCTACAATGCGAACTGAGTGAGTTATTTCTAAGTTAAAAAAAGTGTCACAAAAGTTTAGACTTATTAACAGGTCCTGGCTGGTCACTGAAGATGTTACATAATCATTTAGTAATGACTGTTAATGAGGGAAATATGTTATAAAAAGTACAAATATGTAATTCAATGCTTATGCATGTGTTATTCTTAAATAGACCCACCAGCATATCCTCCCATTTAAGGCAACAAGTAATTTTTATCATCATCATCATCATCATCATCATTAACTGCTTAATCCAGATAGGGTCACGGTAGTACATTTTATGTATTTTATAATTTAGTAATTCTAATATGATATAATCTTATCTAATATATATAGTGTCATAAATAGAATGAGTGTCACTTTCATTTAAGGCCTCTAATGTCAATACAGTGTCATTACTTTGTAAAGTATCTTACATCATCTTGAAATTATGTCATAACCTGCACTAATTATCAGATATTGCTTTATAAATATGTTATTCAGTGCTTATACATGGGTTATAAAAATTGTGTAAAAAAATTGGACCCACTAGCAGGTCCTGGCCATTTAAGGGGTTAACTAGCAGCTTGCACCAAGTTTCTCAGACCAGATTAAGCTTAATCCTACAAAAAGACAGAGATAGTGAATAGTGAACCATCACTGTATTGGCTTGAGTCTAGCTTTAATCCATCTCTGAGAAACCAGGGCTAAGTGTAAGTGGTTTTACTCTGAGTTTGAACAGTAGAGCTTTAAGCGAACACTCTGCTGGACGGTCTCTCTCTAAATGTTGATCAGGTTTGATAAGATGGTCGTTGCTAATCATCTGTTCTTTGAAATGGCCAGTTTGTTCTTCATGTTCTGGTTTGGATGTTCAGAAAGGGTTTGAGCTGTTTTGAAGCAGGAACTGGGCAGAGTGTCCCAGCTGAAGTAAACAGACTTGTTTACAAGGCCATTGTAGCCCTTGAAAGTGAGAAACGTGGGCGAGTTTATTGTCCATATGAAACTTGGAGAGTCTGTATACAGACTGGAGTGAGCAGATCGCCCTCTTCTGGTAAAAGTCTGACATTACATACATTTCACAAACCTGAAATGTAGATTACAGACCTTTGGAAACATAAAGGTGATTTTTCATAATTTCTGCATCATTCAGAATGGTTTACTGTAGAGAAACATACGGACTTGGATGTCTGGTGATAGGAACCAGGGGTCGCCATGACTACAACACAAATATAGACATTTTATTTACTATCCAGAACCACCAGTGAACCTACACGTGTTTATATGTGATGTTGATGGTGGTAAAAAAGTCTGATGAATAAATATGATTCAAAATGATTCCATGTAGTAACTTTCTGTGAGGGAGCTTTTAGAGGTGAATGTCTGGTTCCTATCACCACCACTGTGAACAATTCGGACTCTGTAAGTTTATCTAGAACAGAGCGTTTCACACCAAACCACTCTGAACCACTCTGTTTACATCTTAACAGTTTAATTATGTAGAAATAGTGATTTGGATTTTCCCTTAAGCACAAACAATGTGAAGAAATGTCTATGTGTGGAGGTTCTCACAGGCTTCCAGAGGGAGTGAAGGCCTCACGTTACTGCAGTTATCTGCCTCATTAAACCAAACTTTGCACTGCATTTTCAGCTGCTTTACTGCCTGAACCACCACTCAGGAAACCCAGCACTGACAGATCAGTGAGAAAGAACGAGTGTATGAACTTTTAACTTTGGTAAAAAGTAAAAAAAAAGAACAATATACAGTTCTGTATATTATGAATTTTTCAGGACAGACCAAAAATGGCAAAACATTAAATAACACCATGGTGATGCAGGATCACTGGGAAAAATGGTCATATTTAGACATTTATTGAAGATTTCCAGTATTTCTGCAGAATGAAGTCATTACGTGATTCAGAATGGTTTGGGTAAAATGGTTCATTGTAGCCAAACTTACTGATTTCCTAACAGTTGTGTTTCTTTTCAATGGATCATTTCACATCAAACCACTCCGAATGACTGTGTTCACATTTTGAAGACTGAATCATGCAGTTTCTGAAAAATCAGTGGAATTCCCTCATACAAGGTTATTGTTGCACTGAATAGAGTCTAATTAGTCTAGTTATAATAAACCCACATGCTGTATTAATTTTAACATCTTCTGTTTTTATACAATGTTAAAGCAATTTTTTTTAGAAAGGTCATACACAGTGCATCCCTCCATCTGGCCATTTTCCCCATAGACTTCCAAACAGTTTTTCCGTAGTGCTCTTACACATAAGCCAAAACCGACTTCAATGTTGTAAGTGTGTGTTGTGCTGGTGTGAGTGGATCAGACACAGCAGTGCTGCTGGAGTTTTTAAACACAGGTCCACTCACTGTCCACTCTATTAGACACTCCTACCTCGTCAGTCCACCTTCTAGATATAAAATCAGAGACGATAGCTCATCTACTGCTGCACAGTTTGTGTTGGTCATCCTCTAGTCCTTCATCAGTGGTCACAGGACGCTGCCCACAGGATGCTGTTGGCTGGATATTTTTGGTTGGTGGACTATTCTCAGTCCAGCAGTGACACTGAGGTGTTTAAAAACTCTAGCAGCACTGCTGTGTCTGATCCACTCAGACCAGCACAACACACACTAACACACCACCACCACGTCAGTGTTACTGCAGTGCTGAGAATGACCCACCACCCAAATAGTACCTGCTCTGTGAGGGTCCATGGGGGTCCTGACCACTGAAGAACAGGGTAAAAGGGGGCTAACAAAGTATCAGAGAAACAGATGGACTACAGTCTGTAACTGTAGAACTACAAAGTGCACCTATATAGTAAGTGGAGCTGATAAAATGGACAATGAGTGTAGAAACAAGGAGGTGGTCAGAATGTTATGCCTGATCAGTGTAATTTACTGCAACTTACTGTCTTTTTGGGACTTTTACAGAATTTTATTGGCAACTCTTGTTGCTGGTAGGCTACTGTATAAATATGTGTTACAGCAATTTGCTTTAAACCAGATTACAAGTAAAATGAATAGTTACTGTAAAAACTATAACTTAATATTCAGTAACATACTATAATTATTTTTACAGTAATTAAAAACACTTTTTACAGTAGTTTTTTGTCTGTTTTTGCAGTGCAGTATTATGTAAATTAACATAACATGAGGCTGTTTTATTGTGCTGGTTCAATGGATCACAGAACATATGCTACCAGACACTACCATCACTCACTCACTCCCTCACTCACTTACTCACTCACTCCCTCACTCACTCACTCACTCACTCCCTCACTCACTTACTCACTCACTCACTCACTCACTCACTCACTCACTCATCAGCTGTTTATCCTCCTGGGTTGCAGGGGCACCAGAGTCTATACCAGTGCTATACAAGTGTCTCATTTATTTAAAAAAATCCCAAAGTTATCTTACATTTAAAAGTAATGTTATTGCCTTGATGTCAACCTTACACGCTTGATGTTGACGCTCTCTCAAGCAGCTTAATGAGGAGCCGCTCAGCTGCTCTTTACATTGTGTGAATGTAAATGATAATTGGAATAAAACAAATGCTCTAAAATCACTCAGACAACAATCTTGCCCTGTTAACTTTCACTGAACGTTAAGGATGTTCATTCTTCTTTCTTATGCTTCATTCTCCTCTAAACTTACCATTTTTGCCACTACATAAGCTGCGTTCCAAAGCCGAGGCTGTAGCTGAGGTAGTGCGGGTCCTCGGTAGGACCGTCCTATGAAGACTCCTCCTTAGTAGCCTATTGGTCACACAAATGGAGCAGCCCTAACGAGGCTGTGTGGTGACGCCACCAGAGCGGCGTGAAACTTGTGAGGGAACTGGTGAGAGAAAATGGAGCCGCTGCATTGAGTTTGTTGCTTTTTGATTTCTTCACAGAAATGGAGGAGATGATCTTATGTAGTACAATAAACTACATCCATACAAATACTTCTGAATAAAATACGATATATGGACGAATTCTTTAATTAATGTCATTTTACAGTTTATAAGGTAATGAAGACGAATTCAAGGACCTGAACAACTTACAGTTTAAAACATACTCCGCTCCAACGGCTTTGATTTCCACCATTTCCTCCTTCGCGTTGTTCGTGTGCAGAGAACTGTGGGTAACCAAAGGCCTGGAAGGAAACATCTGATGCATCCTTGAAATCACTCAGAACGTAGGTTGCATTTCTAGGCTGTATATGAAGAATGCTTCACTTTGGAACAGTCTGCTATGATGTAGTGGCCGAGAAACGCAGCCTACACTTTGGGACACAGCTAATATACTGAAACAATACTGGCTGCTGAAAACCACTTTTTGGACAGTTCTTCGTGAATGAGTAGCAGCCTGGGCATGTCAGTAAATGTTTCATGTAAAAAACGTTCATTATGTAATAAGTCCTTGTACCTGCTCTTTCCTCTAGCGCCTCTATTTGCCAGGTTCTGTTAGCACCAAACTAGCTTTGGTTTATATTGATATTTAATGGCAGATCTAGCTAAAATACAGACATCTCAAGCACAAAACTGCCAAGTAATATTTTTATTTTGTATGTTGCTGTTTTACAGTGACAATATCAAACTGTCAGCCTGTATCTTATGTTGAAGCTGGTTAGCCTCTAATCCTGTTAGCTTTCTGCCAAGCAATAATCCTGCTGTAGCGGGGACTGAATAACGTCAGTTAGCAAAAATATAAAGCATGGGGCAGTTTACCTTTTCTAGATCACTGTACCACTACTTTCTTCACAGTGTTCACTTATGTTTTTTCTGCGTCATTTTTATGCATCTAATCATCCAGCAATGCAGTGACGCAATACACTGATCTGTGAATAACAGATCATGAAATGTTTTGTGGGACTCTGAAGGTGAGGACACAGAGCCTCGCTGCCTCCACAGAGACATTATAATCCAAAACATATGGTCTGATAACACGGCAAGAGTCAGAGCTCAGTTTAGAGATCTAGGAGTCAGGAGGAAATAAACTCCTCTGTTCCAGACTCTGCTACTCTGACGGTTGAGAGTGTTCCCTTTCAAATGAGACTGAGATCATGACCGTAGCCCAAAGTATGTGGGAACAGCGCCCCCTTTTATTTTGGATATACAGGCAAAAATGGAGTGACAGTCAAAGCTACAGACCAATGATATTACTTACATAGTTCACAGGTTACAGGCATAATAACTGGGTGTTGTGGACATAGTTGTGTACAGTTGTAAAAGGTTGAAATTTTACACAATACGGCCTGGATCACATCCCTTTAGAGCCCATACCATAACATCAAACAATTGGATGCATAATATTCAGGCATTTTTATCACAAATAACACCAGAAAATTTCAAATTTGGTTCAACTCAGGACAATAACAGAAAGCTTCACCTCTGATCTGTGAGCTTTTTCATGACATCACCTTTATTTACAAACTTTGAGAGATTCCCGCTCAAGTCAAATCCAGCAGAAACACAAAATGGGAACCTCTCAATCAAAATGACCCAACACTCTTTATTAAACGATCAATACATTCAGTGGCTAATCGCACCAATAAGATCAAGTAAATAAGTCCCTTTGACAGGACGTAGAATAGTAGAAAGCTTCGTTCCTCATGGCTTTACTAAAACCTCAGAACGAGAGTCACATAATGTGCCCTGAGCTGCTGGTCGTCCTTTCTGAGACTGATTGGCTGCAGTAGATTTGCTTCATCTCCTGCCTTCCAGCTCAGTGCATCTGGAAGGTGAAATGGAGGAGCTGTTAGATCATTATTACATCGCTGTAATCAGCATTAAGATGATGGAGACGTGTAGAACAAGACCTTTATATATGCACCCTTACTGCATGGTAGATGGTCTTCTCATTGAATCATCTGGAAAGTAAGGAATTCCGATGTTAGGACTGAGAATGGTTCAACCGTCAGAATGGTTGGTGGCATGTAATTAACTCACCTGATGGTTCGTTGTCAAGCATGTGTCGTCTAATCATGCAGAGTTTTATCGCGATGAAGCATGCGGCGAGAAATAAGCCAATCCCTGTTCCTATTACGGCATATTTCACTTCTGAGGCTCAAGGAAAAGGTTGAACACGTCAAGAAAGATATGAGCAACAACAACAGGTCATTGAACATATACAGCACTGTGTGACCACCCGTCATTTTTAATATCAGGTCAAAACAGCCATTAAGTACAAGTTATTCATTTGTCAGTGCCAGAAATAAGATATTGAATAGCAGAAGCCTCAACAACTAAATCTACTCTCAGCTGTTTAGTGTTCAGTGAGTCACTCTTTCCCTTTATTCCAGCTTCCATTCTCTTCAGGAGACTCACTTTCAGCTCCTCAAAGAATCTGCAGACACACCTCCAAAGTTCAGTCTTAGAAGCTGGTTGATCATTTTCTGAAGTAATCAAACTCATTCAGTGGTGTTGAGGTCTGGACTCTGGGGTGGTCAGTCCACTGTTCAGCTTCTTTGTTTGATGTGTCCGTCTCCTTTTCTCAGTGAGGTTCTTCTTGATCAGCTACACATCCTTTCAGACCCACAGCGCTGAGTCGTCTTCTCACAGTGGAAGGATGGACAGAAACACCTGTGGATGTTTTCAGATCTGAAGCAGCTTGATTTTCTCCTCTCTCTCAGAGATGAAAGCTTTAAGTGCTGTTTATCTGATGGGGGCAGTTTTGGGGTCTTCCCAGCTCTTCCAGGTGGTTGTTGGGAGACTCATTTTCTCTGTTTGTCCATTTAACTCCACTTCTGGAAATTTCACTCACTTTGACTTTCTCCTTCACTATGCAAGTGGATTGTCTCATATCTAAATATTTCCTGAAAAAATGCTTGTACTTAATGGCTGTTTTGACTGGAAATTAAATAAATGTGGTCTTTGACTTTTGCTCAGTTCTGTATATGAAAATGACTGTAATAATTACTATTAGTAAAATGAAATTCTGGATTGCTGACAGTTTCTCTTACCTGGTTCATCTCCAGAAGAGCCACCATCCCCTCGTACACACCTCAACAATGTGTCTGTAAAAACATATATCCAAGAATTATTTAGCATTTCAGTAAACTCATTTAAAGTATTTACTTGAAAACTGTTTATTTTGACACTATTGCATGTTGCTTTAGTACATCTTTATCTATAACAGGAGCGTCAAACCCAACCATCAAAAGGACTATATTAAAACATCTCAACAAATCCGTGGGCCAAAGAACACCTATGATTTTATTCATTTTTTTCAAAAACCATTTTGCTACAACCTGAATTGGCCATTGTTAATTAAAAGTATGGCAAAACATCAACAGCAAAATACAAGCGGTTGTAGTAGACCATTAAATATTATTTTAATACTTGAAATATTCAAAAAAGGAAATGAATAGTGTGTGTATAGATATAGATATCCAATAATATAGTAATTAATGGTGGATAACTGTATATACCTGATTAGTCCACTGTTAATTATGAAGTAACAGCTAATGCATGTCTTATAAACTATTTTTATTATTATCACTAATAATATTTTCTCACACCAACTGAATGCAGATTTTTTGGATTGTTGTCTCTGGTCAACAGACTCATCAGCCTCAGTTTAGATGTTCAGCGTCTGAGTCTCCGAACCGGAGCTGTGCATGTCAGCATGTCAGCACAGTGATTAGCTCTGCTAGTAAAATAACAACATGCAGCATTTAGTGTTTCTAGGTTTTGTCTTCTTTGTGCTTTGAGGTTTCCGGTGGTTTATGCAACATGTCCATCTCCTTTTCATGAGGTGTAAACATTTGGTAGGGAACTAAGCTGAAGTTAGAAGCTCGTGAGTGTGGTGCAACCTGTTTTGATTTTGCAATACACAAACCTGAACTCAGTGAGCCTGTTGTAACTGGCCTGACTTAACTGAGCTTACATTCAGCTGGTAAAAGTGGCTCCTGGGCTCTTATGAAGGGCTAAGGCGGACTGAATTTACTACACGTTGCTTGTGACCCCGTTACTTACACTGCTGTCACTCATTTCATCCAGCAGAAACAGGAAGTGGTCTTATTTTCATGCAGGGAGGAAGTGAGATAAGATCTCTGATACGCTGTTCTACTTAACGGATCCTTAAAGCTCTTACACAGTGTTGCTGCCCTAATTTAATCACTTTTCAGCCAAGTGTCACATGCTGATTTTTGCTCTGTGTGCTTTAGTTCACCATCATGACATTAAACATTGTGGAATCTGTCACAACAGTGGAAATTATATAATTGAACTGAACCTGTCAATGACAGCATATGACAGGTTTATGACATGGCTATGTCAGTGTTATGTAGCAGGCCTCAAGTAAAGTTTCACATATTTCTAGTTTTGAGATTGTGGTAGGAATATTAAATGATTATTTAACTTATTTCTAGACTTTTGCTTGCTGGATTTTAAGCCAGGAACTCTTATTCTACTGGCAGATAATTTTGTTTGTTTCAAAAAAGAACGAGGCAAAAATTAGCCGCCAGAAGATTAAGACACTTTCAGTAGATTGAATGATTTAAAACACATAAAAAAGCACTCACTGACAGTATGTATGACATATATACGTTCACTGACTGTGATACATATGATATAAACATGCATTGACTGTATATGTGATATATGATATATACACTAATTGACTGTATATATGATATACATGATATATACACTCATTGACTGTGTATATGATACATATATATATAATAGATACACTCATTGACTATATATATGATATATGATATATACATTCATTGACTGTATATATGATATATACATTGATTGTATATATGATATGTACACTTGCTGATTGTATATGCAATATATATTATGTATACACTCATTGACTGTATATATCGCTGTTGTCGGAAGAAATCCTCATATCTCCAAAATGGTAACTTTACACGTTGAAGGAAAAAACCTATTTTACTTTTAATGTAAGTCAGTGGAACCAGATGGTTTTCAAGTAATTTTGGGCCGTTTCTTTTGGTCCATTCATCATGAAATTTGCACAAAATGTAAAGGACAACAAGCATTTTCAAATTCTGTCAAAAACTGAAAAACGACAAAACTTGAGAAGTTTTCTTCCGACAACAGCGATATGATATATATGATATATACACTCACTGACTGTATATATGATATTAATTATATACACACTCATGGACTGTATATGTGACATGATATGTATTCTTACTGACAGTATATATGATATATATGATGTATACACTCACTGACTGTATATGTGATATATGATGTTTACACTCACTGACTGTATATATGACATATGAAATATACACTCATTGGTTGGAACATGCAGACAGTGTTGCTCTCACTAGACGTCACTGATGAAAACTGGAAACTGTTCACTCTGTGGTGATCACATTATATCCATATTCAGATTCTGCATTTAAAACACTGTTATTGAAAGTAATACCTGCATTCTAATTAAACCTATTCTGTCCATAAAAAAGGTACTGTTTTGCATGGTGTGGCTGCAACTGACTGTGATTAATTACAGAATAATGTGATCAGTAGTGATTTTAATCATTTGACAGCTCTATTTAAAATAATTTTAAAACTACATTTTCTTTATGTGCAAATTGTGCTTCTTGTAGCGATGCGTAAAGCTTAAGCCAAACAAACTTCACAAACTTAATGCATGCGCAACTTTAATAACAGACTGCATACAGCTTGCCTGACCAGCTGATTAGCTCACTGTGGTTAGCCTAAATCCACTTCATGTTTAACACTCCACCCCTTCCTTGTCCTGCAGGAGCCACTTGTGTAATGTAATGTTGTGCAATGCACTTCCGAGTCGTGGTGAAGCCAGCAAGGGCGTTTTAAAAATAGCATTAAAGCATGTTGTGAGTATCTTTACTGGTGATGCTCTGTCCAGCTATTTTCAGTCCCTGCTCCTCTCAGAGGCATTTAGCTTTCTGCCTTATCTTCAGTAAGTCAAATGCCCATTGGGTTCACGTCAGGTGACCAATCTGACCAATAAAGAACATTTACCCTAAAAAAACTCCATAGCTCCTTAGCAGTATCACTATCTTGCTGCAAATTGAAATACCGTCCATTGTTGAGGCATTCAACTGGACCTGGGCAGTTTAGAAGCCTTGCTCTGCTTTACTATTCATTTCGACAAGTGAGGCCATTCCAGCCATACATGAGATCAGCAGTGAACCGTGAATGTTTGAGGCCTTCAGTTTGGGCCATAAATATCAAAAACTCTGAAAAATCACCTCTGTGATAATGCTAATTTCTCAAAGCCCTCTTATTGGATTCTCACCACTAAGCTAATGGTGACTCACATTAACTTTTTTTGACCATTCTGGATTGAACACGGACACGTGAAGAGTTCCGTATGTCCATATGAAGCCATTCAATATGTTTCATTTGAAGCTTGTATCATCACCGTCGAGACAAACCTCATTTCTCCAACTTTACAGGAGAAAGAAAATAGATTCTTAACTTTGAATGGGAGTCTATGGAACATAATTATTTTCCAAGTAATTTTGGAGCATTTCTATTGGTCTATTTATCTTGTGAAGACCAGCTGGCATGTTCAAATTCTGCCAAAGCACTAAAAAAACACAAAAATGGAGATACAAAGTTTTCAGTAAAGAGTCCTGACATAGAGCTGCCACCACTGTTTTCCATTCCTAACAACTAACCAGAACCTGCTTAGACTACAGCTCATATTCACAGTCAGTGACATATCTAGAACCTTCAGAAGGACTAGAGTGACTTTCTCATGGAATTAGTCCACCCATTATAAATAAAAAAATGATTGGTTGATTCCTCTGTCCCTTTCCAATGACGCTGGTACTCAGTCTAACGTGTAAGGTCTTCAGTCCAGCTCCTGAAGTCCTAACCAATGGGAGAGCAGCTTGGCTAAAGGAGATCCTAAGGGATCCTCTCTGTATGAGATGTTATGCTTTGGAACATGGGCAGTCTCTTGACTTCATGCTGGTGCAGGTTTGTAAAGCTAAATCTCCTCTGACCAAAAACACAACAGGCTTTTACGTAATTGGAAAATTTTAACCTGGACTTTGTGTTGTTGAGGCTCGACAGTGGTTTGAACCCTCTGAGGTTGCGCTGGGTGTAATATTGGTGGTACTTCTCTGTTCATCAAGTCAAAAAGAGTTTTAGTTTTAGTTTTTATCCACTACTCTGTGCTTCAACACACGGTCTGCCAGGTCGTTTGAGATCGATGAGCTCCGTGTGTTCTTGCTTCATGACAATATAAAAAGAGTTTATTTCTAAATCATTTATTCTGATATTTCAGCCTCGCTGACTCTTCTTTGGTCCTCATTTTGAGACCCAACAGCTACAAACTCCACATGCAAAAGACACACTTAGAATCAACTCAAGACTTCTAGATCAGGGCTGTCCAAAGTGAGGCCCATGGGCCGAAAGTTGGCCCAGAAGGATGTTTGATTTGGCTCACTGAAGATCCCCCAAACTCCCCCACACTTCACAGTAGGGCAGTGTTCCTAAGTTCCTAAACCTACATAAGACCTTCATGACAACTGATCTAGATCCACATAAACACTTATTCCAATGAGTGTCATTGATCATCAGAGGTGGGTAATAACTAGTTACATTTGTTCAAGCACATGTACTTCAGTAAAACACTGATGGATTTGTATTCTGAGTTTTTTCAAATCATATTTTACTTCTACTCAAGTATATCAGTGAGTAAAGAAGTCCAATTTTTACTCAGTTACATTTTAGCCATCCAATATTTAGGAACTCATTCCTTTTTTTTGTTTAATTTGACTCTGTTTTGTTGGTGACAGCATCTGTGCTGCTTCATTGTTGGTCACATCTCCATTTTTGGAGCTTTAGCATTTAGTTTTAGACCAAAATAATCCCAAGCAAACTTTATTTCATATATTAAGAGATGCTGGATTTACAACTGGAATTTATTTATAGTTATTCTGTACACTTCTAAAAAAAGATGGTTCTTCAGGGGTTCTTCATTAAAGAAAATGGTTCTATTTAGAATAATTAACACTCAAAGAACCATTTGCATGATTAGAGGGTTCTTTGCATCATGAAAGGTTCTTCAGACTGACAGAGAATGTGCTGTATGGTTCTGTATAACACCAAAAAGGGTTTGGCTAGTGTGACGATGTCAACCTGGTAAAAATAAAAGAACTCTAGAACCCCTTTAAAAAAGCTCTATAAAGAACCATATACAACCTATTTCTATCTCGATGCAAAGAACGCTTTAACCATGCAAATAGTTCTTTGAGTGTTTATGGTGCTTTATAGAACCATTTTCCAAACAACCCTTGAAGAATCGTCTTTTTAAGAATGTTGGGTATTTTTGATCTATATACCTCTGCTCAAGTTGCTTCTTGGGAATTTTTTTTTGTTTTATTATTTTATTGTTCATTATTAGTAATTATTTTACCCAAGTATCAATACTTTTAACTGAGTCTGCATTTAGGCTCATCTCCCCACCTCTGCTTATTGTAAAAGGTTGCATTCGGCAGCTTTGATGTCAGGTTGAGATAACATTTGATCACCTTTGAGGTTAAGTGACATAGATTTTTTTTTTCTGACTTTAGGCTGTCATGACATTTTCAGAGGTGAAATGACTTTATAGCTCAGTGTGTGTCACAGTGATATAACTGATAAATGAAATACTGAGTCATTTTCCTTCATTTGTGAGCTTCATTTTAACATTTATAAGACTTTAGCTGTGTCACATCATCAGCATTGTGTCACTGTGAGACTAAACTACAAGTCAGTTGTTGTAAAGTGCTGTCATCTCACCAAAGAAGTGTCATAACAACCTGACATCAGAAAAGATGAATGTCATCTGACACAGGTGTTATGTCAATTTGACATTAAAGCAGGCTTTATAACAGGCGATGGTTATGGGAATGAGCCTTTATAAGTCTATACCTGCTGTCATGACAAGCTTATGTAGCAGACAGTGGCAATTTTAAACCCTGTTTAAGGGCCCTCGTGAAAAGTCACTCTTCCTCAATAAATTCCATTTCTCTTCACGTTTACCGCCGCACTGCAGTAAGCAGCTAATAAAATAACCTTTGAGTTCTTCTGTTATTTTTGTAAATTTGTAGCTTGAACTGTATTGTTCTACCACTAATGGTTGTGGTGCAGCTGCAAGTTGGAAGTCTCACAAAAAAGTTGGCTGACTAATATTTAGATATCTAGATAGGTATTCTGTAATATTAGAGTGCTGACTAATATGGTGATTTATGCTTATGCAGCATGTAGAAATCCCAGCATTAAAGATCTGAATCTTATTCAACCATTTATTATCTAGTGTACACTCTGAAAAATGATGGTTCTTCAAGGGTTTTTAGTAAAGAAAGTGGTTCTATATGGAACCATGAACACTCAAAGAACCCTTTGCATGAAGAACCCCTTAACATTCCATAACATTCCATTTATTACATACTAAGGCTTATTATTCAGTAACTACAGGGACCTTATTTCAAACTAGGGCTATTCTTAGGTTATAGAAGTGTGTAATTAAACTTTGGGCCTGCCGGCGGACCCATAGTTTATTAAGGGGTTAAAGGGTTCTTTACATTGTGAAATGGTTCTTTAGATTGATAGAGAATGCCTTGTGCATGGTTCTATATAGAATCTTTTTGAAAAAGGTTCTATAAAGCAAAAAAAGGGTTCTGACAGGGTTGTGACAATGTCACCCTTTTTGGTACTATATAGAACCATTTTCAAAAAGATTCCATATAGAACCATCTGCAGCACATTCTCCATCAATTTGAAGAACCATTTCACCATGCAAAGAATCATTTAATCGTGCAAAGGGTTCTTTGAGTGTTCAGGGTTCTATATAGAACTGTTTTCTTTACTAAAGAACTAATGAACCCTTAATATCACTGACAATCAAGGAAAATTAACTACTGAATTAAATCTCTTTGGCTGCTGAGCCGCCCTAATGCTAAAATGCAAGGGTAACGAGCTAGCTGTTTTATTTTTTGGCCCTCGGCTCACCAAACGTTTCATTTTGCCCCCTGACACATTAAGTTTTAACACCCCTGCACTCCTCTGTTTCTATATGTGTTTGTGTATCTTTGTGATGTTCCAGCTCAGAAATCCAGTTCAAACACTTCCTGAATATATAGACTTTTGAGCCTATGAAGAGGGGCTGAGATACACGTCATCTGCCTCTCACCGTGTGGAACTGGTGGATTAGTGTGTCCGTCTACATTCTGTGTGAAACTGACCGATGGACACTCAGGAAATCACTAAGGACTGACCATCACGCCGGAAACCCTTCATTCTTCATTCAGTCCACATCGGAGACTCATGTGAAACAGCGTGCAGAGAGTTTACAGCTGCTGAAGCTGCTGCAGCGGTTTTGGAAAGTAGTGATGAAGATAACGGAGCATTTAGATATGAAACATATGAGGATCATGTTATATGAAGAGCCTTTAGAGGAGAGATTAAGAAGAGATGAACAGATCGAGAGAATAACCACAGACCACAGAGGGGTTAATGGGCTGTGCTGTAAGTGTGGAAGAAACTTCAAGGTGCTGTTACTGTGCTATAAATGTCTTATTGGTGCAGGAGCAGCTTATTTATCTGATCTACTGCAGCGATATGAGCTGAGCAGAACTCTCAGATCATTAGGAATAGTCAGTTTTGCACTTGTTATTCTCTATCCTGTTTACTCTGTGTGTTCTTTAAAACTTATTGCGTATATTGTTGAGGAAAATGTTATTTATCCTAAGTTAACTTCTAGCACTGTTATGCCAAGGATTAATTAATATTTTAGAGGTTTAATTTTATTTTTACTAATGTTCTTTCTTCTGGGTCACAGTGGGGTGGCGACCCAGTAGGATAAGCGGTTTAGATGATGTATGTATGTATGTATGTATGTATGTATGTAATGTTCTTTCTTGCTTATGGTATTGGAGACAGCACAAGTATGATTCTGCATTGGTAATCCCATTTATCCCATTGACACTCTTTGAGGCTAAATATTGCTCTGTTGTCCCAAAGATGAATAATTTATTTTTGTCTTTACCTCAAAAGTGATTGAAGTTAACCAGACTGAAATGCTTGCTCTTTAAATTGCAATGCAAACTAGTCTACTAACATTCATGTGGCTGTCCAGCGTCTACAGGGAATGGGTGGTAATATGGTCTATAAAAGTCCTTCATGGAAGGAGTCAGACCACCACACTAAGATTCAGCCGAATGATTGTTCATAGCATATTCATGAGTAATTCACTGTGCATATACTAAAGAAAAACAAATAATTAAAAAAATGAAATGTGCCTGAGTGTCAAAGCACTTAATGACCAAAGGCATGAAGTGAGGTCACTTTTATTTTGGCTGCCCAGAAATGAGGCATTTTACTGAAAATAACGTACCATTTCAGAATAAAAATGATTATTTTAAAAACTGTATTTCAGTAAAATGGCATAGTAATCCACATTAATATCATGTAAAATGTATACTTTATAAATGTTACTGCACCAACATATCTGCATTGTATTCATTGCACTGCATTTGTATCTTCAACATATAAATAAATTTCCCTGAAATACTAATTCAGGCAGATTTAGCCCCAATTTCTACCTTTTAATACATCAGAATAGACAGATATGTACATGATCAATATCAATCATCTGCATCGGCCCACATCCCCCAAATCGCCACATCCCCAGAGCAGACCAGACATCTCAGCTTACTTAGCTCAACTGACCAGAAACTTCTGTTCTAAACTATGAAACAAAGACGACAAAGGAGAAGTTGATAATTACTCACCAAGCGTGAAGAGAAATATGAGAGTAAAGCGATGTGTTTGATGTTCAGGCGTTAGAAACATACTTCAGCCTCGTCTCTTCTTCTTTTGTGCTGGTACTTGTCTGAAATTGTCTGTCTTCAGAAATGGAGCCATTTCCTGTGCTAGCAGTGTCATGGTTTCTAGATAAGATGTGGAGATATTGGCTGTGTGTCGTCGTAGCGTAACACATTTGTTACGCTACGACGTAAACAAACATGTAATAAAGGAGAAGTTGCTATTGGAGGATGCCTGTCACTCACACCAGATCACTTACTGTAATAACCTCTTACTGTAATATCTCTTACTATAATAATCACTTACTGTAATAATCTCTCACTGTAATAGTCTCTCACTGTAATAATCACTTACTGTATTAATCTCTCACTGTAATACTCTCTCACTGTAATAACCACTTACTGTAATAATCACTCTGTAATCTCTCACTGTAATAACCACTTACTGTAATAATCACTCTGTAATCTCTCACTGTAATAATCTCTCACTATAATAATCTCTTAATGGAATATTCTCTCACTGTAATAATCACTCACTGTATTAATCTCTCACTGTAATAATATTTTACTGTAATAATCCCTCACTGTAATAATCTCTCACTATAATAATCTCCTAATGGAATATTCTCTCACTGTAATAATCTCCTAATGGAATATTCTCTCACTGTAATAATCTCTTGCTGTAATAATCATGGGCAGCACGGTGGCGCAGTGGGTAGCGCTGTTGCCTCACAGCAAAAATGGCCTGGGTTCGATTCCCGGCCGGGTGACCAGGGTCATTTCTGTGTGGAGTTTGCCTGTTCTCCCTGTGTCTGTGTGGGTTTCCTCCGGGTACTCCGGTTTCCTCCCACAGTCGAAAAACATGCAGTCAGGCTGATTGGACATGCTGAATTGCCCCTAGGTGTGAGTGTGTGTGAATGTGTATGTCTGTCTGCCCTGCGATGGACTGGCGACCTGTCCAGGGTGTACCCTGCCTTCCGTCCAATGACAGCTGGGATAGGCTCCTTCTTTGTAAACATTCTTCAGATTGATAGAAAACCTTTTTCGAAAAGGGTTCTATATAGCACCCAAACAAACTTGACATCGTAACAATAGAAGAAGCCTTTTTAGTGCTATATATACATTCTTAAAAATGATGGTCCTCCATAGGTTCTTTAGTAAAGAAAATGGTTCTATATAGCAGCATGAACACTCTGAGAACGATTTGCATGATTAAATGGTTCTTTGCATCGTGAGAGGGTTGTTCAGATTGATGTAGAATGTTTATTATAGAACCTTCTGAAAAGGGTTCTAAATAGCACCTAAAAGGGTTCTTCTATTCTAACAATAGAAAAACCCTTTTTGGTGCTATGCAGAACCCTTTTCAAAAAGGTTCAATACAGAACCATCTACAGCACATTCTCCATCAATCTGAAGATTATTTTATGATTCAAAGAACACTTTAATAATGCAAATGGTTCTTTGAGTGTTCATGGTTCTCTGTAGAACCATTTTCTTTACTAAGGAACCCTTGAAGAACCGTCATTATTAAGTGTGCAGGCTTTCTAGCAGATCAGTGAAGAAATCATCTAGTAGATGTGCTGTAACTGTCACTGCAAATGACGACCGCTGCTGCTTTTGTTTTGAAACACAAGCCTGTTGATGTTGGATATGTGATCTGGATTTCTGCCTCTGCAGCCCCTCAGTGTGTGAAGGGGGATTTAGCTGCTTGCACAATACGGCTCTTCATAGTGTCGTTGTCGGCTATGGGCCAGTGTCCTCTGGGCAAAAACAGCAGGAGCTTAATTAGACAAAAGGTGCTGCGTCCTTCAGAGGCTGCATTTCAAGGCCGACTGCATCACAGCGGTGCGACTAGTGTCCCATTTCTAAGGCTCCTTCATATGTGGCTGAGAAATGTGTCCTTCATTTCCATGGCAACGAAGGATCTAACAGGTGGATCCTTCGCCAGCCAACATATCCTGAGGTTCACTGTGTGTCGGTGAGGATTTGAGAACATGGTGGCGTCAGGAGAGGAGCGAACGGTGGCTGAGGAGACACTCTCAAAAAAATTATATATATATAAATATAAATTTTGGGTTTAAACTGAGGCGAATAGCGAACGATACAGATGTTAAAAAAGCCAATGTGGTCTGAAGCAAAGCTTACGCTAATGTTTCATTTTGTTTTAGGGAGCAAAGAGCTGACAAAGAGACACATCTACAGCTCTAATAAATGGATAAATCAAAGTGATGTAGCAGTAAGGGCAGGAACGGTGTCCTTCGAAGGCTGTGTTGACCCACGAAGGCTGAACTTTGCGTCACAGCACTGCTGTTCCCGCCCTCACCGCTGCATCACAAAACGCTGTTCTATAAAGATGGAGCCAGAAACTGATTTCAGTTTTATTTTTCCTTTATTAGAGCTGGAGATGCTTCTCTCTGTCGGCTCTTTGCTCCCCAAAACAAAATGAAACCTTAGTGTAAGTTTTCTTCAGACCACATTGGCTTTTTTATCATTTGTATTTTTAGCTATTTGACTCAGTTTAAGCCCAATATTTACATTTAAAGTGTCACCTGTTGGATCCTTCGTTGCCATGGAAATGAAGGACACATTTCTCGGCTGCATATGGAGGAGGTTTCGAAATGGGACGGACTAATCGCACCGCTAGGACACAATCGGCCTTCAAATGCAGCCTCTGAAGGATGCAGCCCCTGAATTGGGACACAGCTTCAGTGTCAGGTCCATTTAGTGAATTAGTCGACACTTAAGGTATTCTTTCACTGCACATTGCACCAGAACCTTTGGCACTTGACTACTGGAAATGTGCTTATTCTATTGGACTTCAGGCACTGAGCACTGAAGGTTCCAGCTGTTTGGTTTTTGCTACCTACTCAAGATGGTACATGAAGGTCTTCTCTCCTGCCTTTGGTACTTACAGCTTAAGCTAACAACCATTTAGCAAATTATTGACTCTTCCAGGTGAGGATAAAGTCACCAAGCACTACACTCCTTAAAAAGATGGTTCTTCAAGGGTTCTTTGGTAAAGACGATGGAACACATAAAGAACTGTTTGCAAGCTTAAATGGTTCTTTGCATGGTAAAATGGTTGATGAGTGAGAATTTGTCACCACTTTTCAAATGTGACACACTCTGGATATTTAAATTCACTCCTAATGATGTACAGCTTTCTCACTCTTTATATAATCACCACAGCTCTGCTCATAAACAAAAATGTCCTAATTTTCAGAAATTCCTTACAATTTTTTGAAAAAGTATGAAAACTGAAAAAAAAACATTTGATTTATTTTATATGTGTTTGCAACAAAAATTGATTATATATTATATTATATTATTATATAAACTTTTGAACAGTTGTAATTATTAGCTTACTTTCTACTAGTTTTCAAGAAACAAACTACATTTGAAGTTGTAACAGGAACTGTGAGTGAAAACACACCACTGTAACTTAGTTACAATGCGTAAACACTCTTATCAGTGTAGGAAGTGTGAGCCACGTTTTTCACAACCTGTAAGACAAAGCGAGTCACATCAGGCCACTGCGCTGCCTCTTAAACACAGACAGCTCAGCCGAGTTCAGCTGGAAATAATTCAGTCTCTGTTCTGTTGAGAGTGTTTGAGCAGTCGCTAGTTCGTTCCAGATCAGTCCTACAAACAAATCTCAGTGCCTCCATAGTTCAGGAGTTCCTAAACGTCTTTAATGCCAGTGCTCAGGCTTCTCCTGAGAGCCTTTAAATACTTTATAAAGTGAAATAAGATATAAACTCTTCAAAACGTCCTTAAAGTCATGAGAAACTGAGTGTACAATATTAAAAAAGGTTGTGTGATAACAAAATTGTGTTCTTTAGCAAAGTTCAAATTAAACACGGAAGACAATATAATAAAAGATGGCTTGAAAATAATTTAAAAGAAATATCCGAGAACTGTCTGGGCGTGGCCTTATATTCTAATAAGCATGTGTGATTGACAGTCCTCAGTCCAACACTCCCAGCTTGCTACAGCACTGAAGCAGAGCTTAACACAACAGTGCAAGTCACATAGAGAAATGACTGAAACGGGCTCTAAACTCTTTAAAGAAAAAGTTTTTTCAATGGTTCTTTAGAACCATGAACACTCAGAGAGCCCATTGAATGATCAAAGGGTTCTTTGCATCATGAAACGGTTCTTTAGATTGATGGAAAATGTGCATGACTGTGTTATAGATGTCTTTAGTAAATCTTTACTAAAGAACCCTTCACATGCCATCATTTTTAAGAGTGTACATATACAGTAGACCACGCTGTGTCTATTCACTACAAACATCATCCAGCTTTTTATAGAGAACCTTAAAGAAGGACTTTATTCACTTTACTGCTGGATCTGCTTACGGGGAACGCTGGGGTGACCAGCTGAACAAAATGATGACAGGCAGACCTGAGCGATATATACAATATGTATTGTGTGGCCAGAAGAGCACGTTTAACCTGCTTAGACATAAAAGATGGAATTAGATTTCCTGGGGCTTCAAATTTTCAGTCCTATTCTATTCAACACTGTGCTTTCACAATTAGAGGTCAGTGCAGGACTGTTCTTCATTCCCACCCACTCCCGCAGAAAATCTCAATAATTTGTTCCTGCCTGCAGCTGAAAGGTTTTGTCCCACTCCCGCCCGCAAAGTTCTGTCAAGGCGAACTGAAATCCAATATCTGACACAGTCTTTTCACAAACATATTGTTTTCTGCTGAAATAACTGGTCAGTCATGGTCATCAGGCTCACTGTGAGTAACTTCAACTTCAACTTGGTGTTTTGCTGGTCACCTGTGGCTGTCTGACTGAAGGCTCTGAGCTACGAGAATCTGCGAATTGTTCATCTAATCGGCTGCGTTGCAGCTCTTTAGAACGATTTCATTCATTTTAACTGTTTTACGTTTAACTGTTTTATGCTAGATGTTACATGTCTCATTTAAATGTGTTGTATTATGGTTTAGTAGGTTAGCTCTGTACTCTGCTTTCAGCATTTTCACTGGACCTTCACCAGGAGATGACCAGTCATCAGTTGCAAACGGGAGTATTTTGTGCTTCTCAGTTTGACTGGTAGCTTGTGCTGATCTAAAATGCCTCAGCTTCTTCGTGACTCTCTCGTC